CTGGATTCCTTTCAATCGAATTGGGCATATTGTCAAATCTAATACTTGTTAATAATTTCCCTCTAAAAATAGCAAGTGCAATTATAGACGCTTGGCTACCTAACCTTTGTAGGTGGGACTTTCTGCTCAAAGGCAGAAATTCAATCTTCAGTCCCATTCTGTGTGTTCAATGACCCATCAGTTGACCTGCTTTGAGCAGGGTCAGAGCAGACGCTCCTGACCTGAACTTGGCGGTCTCATTCGATAGGTCTTGAAAGCCACATGGTGTCATATTTGCATCTTACTGTCCAACTAGATTCCAAATTATTGTCTTGGGCATCATCTTTTTAAAGATTCCTAGGACTCCTTCTGAGGATAAACTTAAATTAAAATTGAAATCAGAGGGAAATGTGTCTGTATTGTATATGCTGACAGATTGGGCCCACAGTTAAGATATTTGACAAATAGTGACCATTGCTGAGATCACCCAACTGAATTAAACCAAGGTTCAATTTCAGATCAGAGAAAGATACAGAAGAAAGAAGCTGTGGAGAGGAATTCCTTTTATAGGATCTACTCCTTCCTGGCTTCCTGAATGCATACCATATTAAATGTGGGTTAACGTTTAACCCATATAACCAATTATTCTTTACTATGGGCGGTAGGTCATGCCTGCCCATTAGTGTCTCCATCAGCAAACAGCACATTGCCCCTTTGAGCTCATAGAAAGGTGGAAGTCATAACAACAGTAGGTCACTGAGTGCTCAGTACAGAGGAGACACTCTGCTGACGCACATCACATGTATTCAGTAGGCGCCCACAGTAACGGCCCCGGGAGGCAGGGGCTGTCACCCCATTCCACAGATGAGAAAACCCCAGCACAGAGGTCAAGAACCTCTGGGGCCACCAGGCGGCCTGACGCCAGCGTGTGACCGTCTCCACCGCTGTTGCTCTTACTCCTGAGAGTCAGCTCAGTGTTGCTTATGATAATGTTTATGAGCAGGTTAAATGCTGCCTGTCGGTAGCTTTCCACGCACCTGTCTGTGGCGCTTGGCAAGCTTGGCTCCTTCTTTGTTTTCTGATTATGTCCTTCCTTCTCAGCACGTTTTCTCCGAAAAGCTTTCTTTTGGGGGCAAAAGAGAAGGCAGGTGACTTTAATAACTGTCTACTTTATACTTTTATTAGTTTGATTTGTATGTATCACACATCATATGTTTTTATCTTCTAACAACATTCATTGAAAAAAACTCAACCATATCTTGATTATGGAATATAAAGTCTAAATATGCTGTTTACAGAATTGTCAATTATAAGTTAATTTTCTGAGAACTTTTCATTCATCAAGAAACACAATATTTCTGACATCTAGGAAAACACGGAAAACACAGTTATTGTAGTCAAATAACTGACTGACTGTGTAGTCTAGATAACCAATATTAAAGTAGTTTCGGTATTTAAAGCCAATCAAAAACCTCTGGGGCAAAATCAAGACAGTTGAGAAAACAATAGACGCTAACCTCGCCAGTATAGTCTTAAAAATGAATCAATAAAGTGATGGATCAACAGCATAATATAGAGACGCAAGGTGGAGAGGGATAATATAGCTCACAGAAAAGAAAGTATAAATGGCTCTTAAAAATATGAGAAAGACACCGTTAAGAAAAGGACTCATAAATGGACCATGTAAAGAACTCCTCCAGCTCAATAATAAAAAGATAACCAAGCCAACTTAAAAATAGTGGACAAAGTATTGCAAGTTACTTTACCAAAGAAGGCATTAAATAGCTGATAAACACGTGAAAAGATGCTCAGCGTCATTAATCGTTGTTGTTTAGTTGCTCGCTCATGTCTGACTCTTTGCGACCCCATGGACTGTAGCCCGCCAGGCTCCTCTGTCCATGGGGTTTCCCAGGCAAGAATGCTGGAGTGGGTTGCCATTCCCTTCTCCAGGGGATCTTCCCAACCCAGGGATTGAGCTTTTGTCTCTTATGTCTCCTGCAGGCAGGTTCTTCACCACTACGGCAACAGAAATATTCTATATCTTGATTTTGGTAGTGGCTACATAACTGTATACATTTGTTTAAAACTCATCAAACTGTGTATGTTCAGAGAGTCAATTGGTGTGTATATGGGCACACTTTGAAGATATTGTGGGTCCACTTCAGGACCACCGGGATAAAGCAAATATCACAATAAAGTGAGTCACAGGAATTTTTTGATTTCCCAGTGCTTCGAGAAGTGACGCTTACAGTGTAGTCTGTTGAGTGTGCAAGTAGCATTATGTCTAAAAACCATGAGCTGTTTTAAAAGCTGTTTTAAAACCATTTTAATTTAAAAATAGCACTGTTGGGAAAATGGCAGGGATAGACCTGCTTGATACAGAGGTGCCACAAACCTTCCATTTATTTTTTAAAAAAAGAAAAAAGCAGTGTCTGAAGCACAGGAAAGCAGAGCCCAGTGGGGTGAGGTCTGCTGTGTAACACAATAAAGTGCTTCAGTTCAGTATTGTAAGCAGGACATAAACAGAGTGGTGTTTGTGAAATCACATGTGAAAAGATGATTTTCTTTTCTCATTTTCTCTCTAAAAAGGCAACCTTTCACACCCCGTTCAGTCACCTGGGCCAGAGTCCGGAAGGCTGTTCCTCTTACACTTTTCCCAAGATAATGGGCTCAAGCAAGGTGGGTCTCGGAAGCCTTAAAAACAAACGTTAATAAGCCTCTCCACTCCAGAAGCCGCCCTGTACTCCCTCTTCTTTCCTTCGTAATAGGGGCGACACAGAGAAGCACGCGGTCTGCTCCGCAGAGCCGAGAGGGTCACGGAGCGGGGCTGGCCGAGGGGAGGCGCTGGCGTGGAGGGGCCGGCGCTCAGGCTGCCCTCTGCAGACCGCGGGTCCCGCTGAGCTGGGTGCGCCTGCGCCTCTCCAGCCTTCCCTCCAGCCTGCTCCACGGGGCAGGGTGGGCACCCAGGGGCCGGTGGCCGCTCCAGTCTGTCCCTGCGGCGGTGGAAACCTCGGTGCCCACCGTGTGTGTGCAGGACCCCGAGGGGAGCACGACGGGATGGGCGCCAAGAGGGGGGGCGGGGCTTGGCAGACCCCTGAGATCTGAGAGGCGAGCGGAATGGAGCCTCTGCCTGTTGTTGGGTTTCCATGAGGAAAATGTGGGTTTTTTAAATCTTTTTTTTTCTGGCCACGCCACACGGCTTGCGGGATCTCAGTTTCCCGAGCAGGGATTGAACCTGGGACATGACAGAGAAAGCCTAGAATCCTAACCATTAGGCCATTGAAGAATTCCCCTTTTAAATCTCTTTCTTCCGTCACATTTGCTGAAGGTTACACAGATCTGAACTTTGAAAAGTCAGGCACACCCAGCTCAAAGGCTTTGAGCATTTGGCTGTGGAACAGTCTGTGAAGAACAATGGCAAACGGAGAGAGAGATGCCCACTCAGTGACCCCGGTTTTCTTAGAGCCTGAACGTTAGTCTTCATCACTTTCCTCCAGTTCATTAGAGCTCATCTGAGTCCCTGGGCAGGTCAGAGCTTGACCACTGTGTGAATTTCCAGGGAAGGGACTTTTGACTGTTGCTGTTTCTAAAAGTTGGTTGTCATTCTCTATGACCATGAGTTTTCATTTGCTGCTGCTGTTGTTGTTTTTTTATAATTGTTAATCGTGTACAAAACAAGAAATCATAGCTGCCGTTTGTTGTAGACCCAGTACCTGGCATTTCTGCTCCGGGTCCCGGCTCTTGGCTCCCCACCGTAGACACACACAGAAGCAGCAACCTCCACAAGCCTGCTCGAGAGCCTGACAGTCCCAGCACACAGCCTGCACACCGCTGCCTGGGGGCCACCAGTTTCTCCCCTGATGAGAAATACTGGTGGTCTCAGAGACCACAGGACGTGTCCGCGTGTCTGCCAAGAGCAGCTCACTCTGAGTCACTGAGCCTTTCTTCACTGCAGTCACATCCTAACCTTGCTTTTCATTCCAGGCGGCCGAGATGCTCCTTTTTGGGAAGAAGTTAACGGCCCAGGAAGCATGTGCCCGAGGACTCGTTACCGAAGTTTTTCCCGATGGCACTTTTCAGAAAGAAGTTTGGGCCAGGCTGAAAGCATATTCAAAGCTCCCCCCAAATGTTAGTATTCGGGCTTTTTTTGTTTGTTTGTTTGTTTTTTACTTGCAAGAACTGTTTGCCTTAAATAGACAATTTAAAAAAAAAAGACACATTTGCTTGCTCTGAGCACATGTAAATCTGACATTAAAAGAAACCATAATAACACGAGAAGTACGAAACTTACCCAATGGCTGTTCCACTTCTGGGATGTGGAGACAGAAGGGCAGTTCCTCCTGGCCGTGACTGAGGAGGCTGATCGGCCGCCTCTGCTGGGACTTCTGGCCTGGAACCCAGGTGAGCAGGCAGACAGGTGAGCTTCACGGGGATGCTTGCACTTCTTCATGCGCCCACGGTGAGTGACTGCCTCATGTCCTCGCTGCTCAGAACGCAGCCCTGGAGCCAGAAGTGTGTGGTCACACGCCCCGCCCACACCTGCCACGGTGACATGTGCACACTCGAACGTTTGAGAAGCCCTGTCTTACCTTATAAGGTGTCACAGGATCAAAGGAACAATGAGCCACACAAGCGTCAGAATTCTAGAATGATCCCAATTCCTCTTAGAATACCTCTTCAGCCAATTGTTGGTTTTGATTTTTCAGGCCATGAGAATTTCCAAGCAGATCATCAGAAATCAGGAGAAAGAAAAGTTGCACGCAGTCAACGCGGAAGAAAGCAGCATCCTGAGGGAGAGGTGGCTGTCAGACGAGTGCATGAATGCCATCGCGAGCTTCCTGTCCAGGAAGGCGAAGCTCTGATGCCGGCGCGGCCCCACCGGGCACCTCCGGGGAAGTGTCGTACCGCGGTTACGCTTGTCAGCCCCCGCACCCAATAAAGCTCGCAGTGCCTTCCTTCAGCGCTCAAATACCTGTGCTGTGATTGTATTGTGCTGGAGCCTTGGTGAAGGACAAATGATGTCAGACGCGCCTGGGGAGTTTCCGCTGGCTGTTGGTCGGGGGCAGCCTCAGCTCCCTCGACATGAATGGCTGTTGCCAGGCGCACTGGAACATGCTCCCCGGCGCCCTGCTCTGGAACGCGTTCACCGCTTTGCAGGCCGAGACCATGTCTTTGAAAACCACCACGGCGCTCTGCCGCCCACACAGGGTCACCGACTCGATCGGCCCGAACGCCGACAGCCTCTGCGTGACCGAGGCCAGGTCTTCGGTGGGTCGCATGTTCTTTTTCAGCCACCTGGCAGGGGGAGTGGGCAGAAAGGAGCAGGACGATCAGAGGGTCAGTTAGAATCCTAGTTTCATTCCACGACTATCATCTGCCCAAAAGACATGGAGAATTAGGCCGTTTCCCAGGAACACAGTATCCCCTATCAGTGGTTAGTTCCTCGTGTACTGTCCCGTCTTCATTCTCATTTAAGATGGTCCCTTATAAAAAGCACATCTGAAAGCTTACTGTCCTTGTAACCGAATAAAGACACAACTTACGGGATACAGTAAAATCAGTGCTGAGCGGGAAACTGTATAGCTGTCCGTGCTTACGTGAAAAGCAGGGATCTGGCGGACTAGGATTAGAGGCAAGGCTGTGCTGCACGTGGTTGTATCCTGGGTCCCGGCCGTGTGGGGCGGGCCGCTGCCTCCTGACTGGCTGCAGCATTAAAGCCCTGCGGCTCAGTGGCTGGGTCCCTAGAACCCCACTCCAGCCCCGCTCGTTGTCCGCTCCCTGACCTGGGATGCGATGGCCCACGGGGATCCCACACGCCTGCTCCGTCTCTGAGCGCTCCCGCAGACCCTGGGCGCGGTGGGGGGTGAAAAGGCGGCTCATGGGTTTTATGCAGAGCAGCACTTGTTTCCACACTCACCACATAGGCCAGAGACAAGTTCAAGTCGTTTTTTAGCTAAGGCATCAGGGGCTCGTGGTCATCCTGTGACATCTCTAAGCAGGCCCGCCTGGGGCAAGGCTGGCCGCCTACCTGACAACTATGGTTGACATTGGAGGCTCCTTTGTGTTCTTATTCCACAGGCGGCACTTCTTCCACCCCTGACTGGCGTTGTTGTTTTGTTTTCTTCTCCACAGGGGCATACTGCTTGGTTTGGGGGTCAGATTAATCTCTCTTGGAAATTGATGTCTTTCCAAGATCCTTTCTAAGCCAGAGAATTCAGAATTCTCACCTGGTAATAGAATAAATTAGTGTTAGTCGCTCAGCCGTCTCCAACTCTGCGACCCCCCTGGACTGTAGCCCCCCCAGGCTCGTCTATCCATGGGATTCTCCAGGCAAGAACACTGGAGTGGGTTGCCATTCCCTTCTCCAGGGGATCTTCCCGATCCAGGGATTGAGCCCAGGTTTCCTGCACTGCAGGCAGATGTTTTTTTTTTTTTGCTAGTAAAAAACTTTGTCTTTTATTTGCCCGAGAGCAGCTGTTGCCGGCACTGGGGCCCTAAGACTTCCAGAAGGGATGGGGGCGGGTTGGAGACCCATCCTGCCTGCCAGGCGCCGCCTGCCCCACCCTGCTTCCTGTAGGAGACGAGAGAGCAGATGAAGTGCACCCTTGTACTAGCAAGTGCCGCCTCCATTTCCTGTGTCAGTTGCTCAGTCGTGTCCGACTCTGCGACCCCCCTGGACTGTAGGCCGCCCGGCTCCTCTGTCCAAGGGCTTCTTCAGGCAAGAATACTGGGGTGGGTTGCCATTTCCTTCTCCAACAGGCAGGCTCTTCACCTTGTGAGCCCCCAGGGAAGCCCTGGTGCAGGGAGCATCAGTGTAACTCTGTGTTCCTTCCCGTCTCTGCTTGGGAAGAGGAGCGTGGCGTCGGTTTGAGAACGGCTATTCATGCCACTTAGTTGCTATTTGGCTCTGCCATTTCTTCATTCCAAAAATACCAGTGAGCAGCATTTAGACCGTAGCCTGGTCCTGGACATCTGAGAGACGCACAGCAAGACGGGAGTGAAGGAATGCAGAGAGCAGGTGCTGAAGGTCGCTGGTGTGATCTGCCCATGATTCTCAAACAAAGAGTGAGTGAGCAATTATTTTTTATCTTCAGCGATAGTAACCACACTGTACTGACATCACACGTGCTGCTTCACACGGATGGCCCATAACCAAATGCCCGTTGGCAGTGAGACAGAACTTGTGTCAGAACGTGTTCCAGGACACCGCTTCCTTCATCAAAACCCTCTCCTTCCCCCAACCCCCCCAAAAAAAGAGGGAGGGAGAAGAGAAGTCAGTTAAAATGCATGGTGTCTAGTGACAGAGCTGAGTTATCTTGCAGGGCAGGTTTTTTATCTCTTTGCCAACTGGTAACACTTTGAGAAGCAAAAGCCAGTTTGTGGGCCGTGCTCCGAGCATCTCTGTAACCCGTTCAGGTGCATCCAGAAGAAGCTGTCACACAGCTGCTGCAGGAAGAGGAGCTGAACCTCAAGACATGCAGGGCGGCCCTGCGTCGGACGCGGAATTAGATCAGAGCTCACCCAGCCCCCGTTGTTCCACCGGCTGGATCCCTGAGGGTCCTTCCCGGGCAGGGTAATTGGGAGAGACCCCCTGGAACATCGCCTCATGCAGACTAAGTGGACTAAACGGTATGATGATAGAGAACCGCTTCCTCCTTAGAGGCCAGAAAATCACACCAAACGAGTCAAGAGCAGGCTTGAGCACGGGGCTCCCGCCCGCGGGCAAAGGCCAGGGTTCTCGCCTCGGTTCCCTGGCCCCACTACCGCACAGCTGGGCCGCCCAGCCTCCTGCGGGCTCCCCCGCCCAGCAGCAAGAGTGCAGGCTTTACTTGGTTGTCAGGATTTCACAATTGACAATTGTGACAATTGTGACAATTTCACAACATTGACAATTCGGTGGGCCGCAGTCTACACGGCAGGAACACCACCAACTGCTAAAGGTGTGCCAGGACCTATTTGGGTCTACACTGGAAGGCTAGGAGAACAGACTATAAATCAACATACAACTGGGATATCATGGAGAAATCAAAACCCACTTCTCCAACCTCACATAAATGCTCCCTGCACTTTCCATTTTAAAATTGAATTTTAACTACAAAAATTAAAGATGTGTGGAAAGACTTCCACTAAAATAAAATTAAACCACCTAAGTATAGTGAATGAAAGTCGCTCAGTCGTGTCTGACTCTTTGCGACCCGGTGGACTGTAGCCCGCCAGGCTCCCCTGTCCATGGGCTTCTCCAGGCCAGAAATCGAGTGGGTAGCCTTTCCCTTCTGCAGGGGATCTTCCCGACCCAGGGATGGAACCCAGGTCTCCCGCGTCGCAGGCAGATTCTTCATGGTCTGAGCCTCCAGGGAAGCAGTGTGCATAGTGTAAAAACTGAAGGAGCAGAAGCCGCAGAGCCAGGAGGCCCGCAGGCCGCGCTCTCTCGAGCCCTCTGGAGCTCTCTGGAGGCCCCGTGTCTGGAGCGGAGCCCAAGCAGAACGAAGGCCCGCCCCTCCCTCCTCTCCCGCGGACTCGGCCAGTTTGTTTACTGCTTTTGCTGCGCTCCCAGCTTCCTTTCCCTTCTGTAAAAGTGTTCTGTCCACGTGCTGACTTCCTCCTGGTTCGCTGATTGGCAATTCTCCATGGATACTGAATAAACCCATCTTTGCTGGAGAAATACTGGGCGGTCCTTTTAGTTCAAGTCAACAATGGTCAAAGGAACCTCTTCCTTCCTCTCATCACTATCCTGCCACCATCCCAAATTTGCCCTGTCTCCTTCTAGAACCCTTTTCTATACGTTTATGTACATGTTTCCATCTATGAATTTACAGTCTTCTTTTGGCAAAGATGGAATCATTGTTACTAAAACTCTGCAGTGTGTTTTGTAGATATTTTAATAACGACTTTAACAGTATTTCCAGTATGAATGTATCTGTTTAACCATTCTGTTGTTGAATGAGATTAGGTCTTTTAGAATTTTTCACCTTTATAAACAGTGTTTCAACACACACCTTTGTTCCTGCATCTGTGTGCAGGGTGGGCCAGTATTTCTCTGGGACAGTAAGTAGAAGTGGAATTGCTAAGTTGAAGGACATGTGTATCTAACAGGATGTTAAAATGTGAATTTTTCTGTTGTCTCAGTTTTGTCCTAGGCCCACACGTTCTGAAAAAACATTCAGTGGCGCCAGATGCCCAACCATGAACAACAAACTTATCTATATAAGACAAAGCTAAGCATTCTTTTCGGCACGTGAGGACTCCTTTAGGCAGAGGCGCTGCACTGCAGGGGACTGTTGCGTCTCCTAACCCCCAGGATCCCCGCATGTGGCCTCGCTTGGAAACAACCCGCAGATGCAGTTAAGACGAGGTCATCCTGGGCAGTGTGTGCAAGCAGCCAGTCGTGTACCGTTCTGTGTGACCCCATGGACTGTAGCCCGCCAGGCTCCTCTGTCTGTGGGGATCCTCCAGGTAAGAATCCTGGAGTGGGTTGCCATTTCCACTCCGGGGGTTGAACCCGAGTCTCTTACGTCTCCTGCATCGGAATGCAGGTCCTTCACTACTGGCACCACCTGGGAAGCCCTGTTCTGGAGCAGAGCAGGCTCTTAATCCAATGTGGTTCTCCTTGTAAGAAGACAGACGTGCACATGGAGAAGACGGGTGTCACATGTGCACATGCACCTGTGACAAGGGAGGCAGAGAATCGGGTGATGCGTCTGTAAATCAAGGGGCGCCAAGGAGTCCCAGCCAACTCAAGAAATGGGGAAGAGGCAAGGAAGAGCCCTCTCCCAGCCGCTTCAGAGCCTGCTGGCACCCTGGCTCTGGACTTCTAGCCTCCAGGCCATGAGACCATACATTTGTGGCTTTAACCCCCCCCGCCCCGTCTGTGGGTCTACATTCTGGCAGTCCCAGGACACTCTGCTTACTCTTTACCGAGTTCAGCTTATGCAGTAAGCCAGCAACATACATTTTAAACTTTGACAAAGACTTTCAGATTACCTTCGAAAAAGCCTGAGGCAATGAAAACATACCATCAATTGTGAGGGTATTAATTTCCCCACGTGTTTATCATTACTGATCTTACCAAATTTGACCACTCTGATGGCTTAAAAATATCTCCTTGATTTATCTTTAAAAATATTTCTTTCTTTCTTTGGCTGCCCTGAGTCTCAGCTGCAGCAGGGAAGATCTTGCATCTTTGTCGCTGCAAGCGGGATATTTGACTGCAGCCTGCAAACTCTCAGCTGTGGCATGTGGGATCAAGTTCCCCGACCAAGGACTGAACCCAGGCCCCCCGCACTGGGAGCTTGGAGGAGTCTTAGCCACTAGACCACAGGGAAACTCCCTTGGTTTTCTGTTACTTCCTTGATTACCAGAGTGTTTGAACACCTCTCATGTCTATTGGCAGTTTGTATTTCATCTTGTGAATTACCAGTGTACAATGTCTGTCTATTCTATTAGGTGCTTACACTTTTCTTGATTTTTACGTAATCTTTAATATAACCTGGATCTTGGGATTGGTTCACAATACTGTAGGTTCAGGGGTTAGGGATTAATCAGAAGACAAAATGCAGGAGACCCAGGTTCAATTCCTGGGTTGGGAGGATCCCCTGGAGAAGGAAATGGCAACCCACTCCAATACTCTTGCCTGGAGAATCCCATGGACAGAGGGGCCTGGCGGGCTACTGTTCATGGGATGGCAAGAATCGGACACGACTGAGCAACTAAACCACCTCCACCAGAAGACGAATCGCCAAACCAGCCACTGTGTTCTAAAGTCATCACCCCGATAGCCGCCTTCCCACCCGGGACTTGTGTCTTCATCAGTGTGGCAGCTGCCACTTCGCTCCCTGGGCCCCTGGGGCCAGAGGCTACCATCTACCTCTGCCCTTCAGCTGAGCGCGAACAACACGGGAGGCAGGCTCAACCCAATTCTGCAAATCAGTCCAGTTATCACCCTCCCAGGAGGGGCAGGCCACTCCACACCTCCACACCTGCAAAGCCTGTAAGGCCTGGGGGAAAACAGTGTTCCTGTTTTTTCCGGTCCACGCCTGGAAAAAGCAAGAAGGAGGGGTAGGAAACAGAGCCAAGGAATGAACTTCAAAGCCTGACCTTTAACCGGGAAGTCATCCCACTAAGCCTCAAACCAGATCTAGGAAAGGCAGTGCGTAGGTGAACCGCGTGTGAGCTCCGAGCACGTGGCCCAACAGCACGAAGGATGGACGTGGCTGAGGTCTCAGGTGCGAACCACACCTGCTCTGTAGGACTGACTCCTCACTCATGACTGCAGGGGGGCTTCCCAGGTGGCACTGGTGGTAAAGAATCCGCCTGCAATGCAGGTAGACGGTTCGATCCCTGGGTTGGGAAGATCCCCTGGAGGAGGGCATGGCAACCCACTCCAGTATTCTTGCTGGAGAATCCCACGGACAGAGGAGCCTGGCGGGCTATGGTCCATGGGGTCGCAAAGAGTCGGACACGACTGAAGTGACTTAGCACGCACGCACACACGCACGACTCCAGAAGGGGTGTGGGTACCACGATAAAGTGCAGGCTTCCTAAAGAGTTGGCGCCTGCCCTCTGCCCACATACATTTTTTCTTGTCCTCCTCACTCTTGCAGGAGTGGAGCAGCTCCATCAGATGATTGGGAAGCAACTTGTGAAGGCTGGACAGAGTCTCGAAGGTGTGACGGAGAACCTCAGGCTGGCTGTAGTTTTTCAGGGTCTTAGGTTTCTCGAGGAGCGGGAGTTTCAGCTCCATTTGGTGGTTCTTGGCTGTCCCCATGATGACCCTCTGAGTTACGGACAAGAGTGGAAGGGAGCTGGAGGCGGGGTGGCCCTGGCAGCGGCTCTTCCCAGGCTCTCCCTCATCTCCAGGAAGGCGCCATGGACCCTGTTTGCTGCCCTCTGGCTGCTGAGCGTTCTGAGGGTCACAATGGCCCAGAGCTCGGCCTGGAACCCTGAGCGATGGCCTCACACCTCCCAGCCAGAGGAAGTTCACCCTTCACAGATATCCCGAGTCTGACGGGGACTTCAGGCAGAAACCCGTTTCCTGTCCGGACATGGACGATGCCTAAGGAAGGCAGGGTGCTTTCCTAGAGGAGGGGGACCCGGCGTGTGCACTTCAGTCATATTTTCCCATCCGGCCCCCAGTGGAAGCCGAGCACCTTGTGTGAATCTAATTAAGGCCCTGCAGACCAACCCGGCCCCGGGGAGCGTGGCTACAGCAGCGAGGTTTCCAAGCAGAACCCGGGAAAGAGCGTCAGCGTCCACGGTTGAGGACATGTCCAGATTAACCCAGGTGAGAAGGTCCCCTGCTGCTTATTCTCTTACCCAGACTAACACGAGAAGACCAAAGCAAACAAAAGATGCTCAGCGCTGGCTTTAGTGGAGAAGCCATTCCCTGTCGTGGACCAAAAGCAGACGGAAGATCAAACAGGTAAACAAGGACCTACTGTACTGTACTCGATATCTTGCAATAACCTCTCCATAGAATGGAAAAGAATCTGAAAAAAGAAAACATGTGTGTGCGTGTGTATGTGTGGTGTATGTATAACCGAATCACTTGGATGTACCCGTAGGCTCCTCTGCCCATGGGACTCTCCAGGCAAGAATACTGGAGTGGGTTGCCTTGCCTCCTCCAGGGGATCTTCCCGACCCAGGGATGGAACCCAAAGCTCTTACGTCTCCTGCATTGGCAAGCAGGTTCTTTGCCACTAGTGCCATCTGGGAAGCCCTTTAAAACTAATACAACATTGTAAATTACCTGCACTTCAATAAAAATAAATAAATAAATAAAATAACAAAAGCAGGCATACTAAATAATCTTAAACCACCACACCTAATAGCACAACCCCCAAGAAAGACAGAAGTTGCCAAGAACTACTCCCAGAAATTGGCAAAAATGCAAATAATGAAATCTTTTATAGGTAATCCTGGGCAGGCTCCAACTGAGCCAGGCTCACCATAGGTGGTCTATTCCACGAACTGTCTGGACAGACACACTGCCAAATGGTCAGAAACAGGGAAAGCCATGGTGAACGCTGGGCTTCCCTTGTGGCTCTGAGGGTAAAGCGTCTGCCTGCAATGCAGGACACCTGGGTTCCATCCCTGGGGCAGGAAGATCCCCTGGAGAAGGAAGTGGCAACCCACTGCAGTATTCTTGCCTGAAAAATTCCATGGACGGAGGAGTTGGTAGGCTACAGTCCATGGGATTGAAAAGAGTTGGACATGACTCAGCAACTTCACTTCAACTTCACATGGTGAAATCTAGGAGCGTTTTTGTTTGCTTTTTCTCCCCTATTTTTTGGTGGCTCCCTGCAGCATGGGGGATCTTCGTTCCCAGCCAGATGTAGAACCGTGCGTGCCTCCTGCATCGAAAGTGCAGTGTTTTAACTGCTGGACTGCTAGGGAGAGTCCTTGTGTGCCAGCTTTTAATCAAACTTCAAAACCCTTGGCCAGGACTGTAGGAAAATCATGATGGTATCATGGTCCCCAGCACAGGAGACACAAAATTCCACTTTGGAATTTTCAACTTGCAAATTTAAAAAGTACAACATTACGAAGTAAACAGAAAGATGAGCTTTAAATACAAATACATTTTAAATACGGTATAGAGCTAACCAGAACCCCTGGAACAGAGTGTGAGTCTCATAATTTCTCAGGTGCTTTTGGAGAGAGGAACTGGTAGAGGGGAGGGTAGAAAATTCCGGAAGCCAGAAGTTTCTCTCTTCCAAGCAGATGTGACTGGGTTACTATAAGTCCTCTTCCACTTAAATAGGGAAGAGCAAACCATGTTTTAAGCCATTCAAAGGCCAAGGAAGGGATCTATTAAAGTTGATTGTTTCCAGTTCACATAAATTGACCTACATGTTCTCTTTAAATTTTTGCTGTTGAAGTATAGTCGATTTGTAGTGTTGTGCTAATTTCTGCGGTACAGTGACTCAGTTATACATGTACACACATTCTTTTTCATATTCTTTTCCATTATGGTTTATCACAGGATGTTGACTATAGTTCCCTACGCTATTCAGTAGGACTTTGTCTATCCATCTATGCTTAATAGCTCCCATCTGCTCACCCCAAACTCCAATCCATTCCTCCCTTACTCTCCTCTCCCTCGGCAGCCACAAGCCTGTTCTTTATTTGACCCGTGTATTCTTTTTGGCGTTTTATTTAGTACTTGGGTACAGCTGATTAACAAATAATATAGTGATAGCCTCAGGTGGACAGCAAAGGGTCCCAGCCACACAGACACGTTATCTGTTCTCCCCCAAACCCCACCTCCCGTCTCGGCTGCCGCATCACACGGAGCAGAGTCCCAGGTGCTATGCAGCAGGCCCTTGTCGGTTATCCATTTTATGTTTAAGACGAGGTTTATTTGTGGCTGTGTTGGGTTTGGTTGTGGCGTGCAGGCCCCTCTCTCGATGTGGCACACAGGCTCAGCCCTGCAGCGTGTGGGATTTTAGTTCCCTGACCAGGGATCAAGCCCACCTCCCCCGCACAGCAAGGTCGATCCCTAACCCCTGGACCCCCAGGAAGTCCCGTCCATTTTAAATATAGTGGTATGTGCGTGACGATCTCAGACCCCCTAACTATCCCTTCCCCCCACCCATCCCCCCCATGCCCCCCTGCACCCCGCAGCCATAAGCTGGGTCTCGAAGTCTGCGAGTTGACCCATATATTCTTACTCTTTGCCCTAAATAACAACTGTTGGAAATCTTCCCAGCAATCTGAAGTTTACTGACCTTGGCTGAAATCAGGAGGCCACGATGATTACCTTTTATTTTTAAATAAACTCTCAGAGGAATAAATGTTTCCTGCCACAGGTACATCTTCTTCAAGGAGTCAGATTTTGTCCCTTTGCTCTGATTGTGGTGCGGTGGCAGGAACGCCGTTGGGGGTGGACGTGAACGGTCTCCACGGGGCAGGCGGGGTGCCAAACCCAGCTGTGACCTTCACCGTGGCCAAACCGCTCTCAGCCTGCGGTGCTGATGTTGAGGACACAAACCCCTCCACTTGAGCCTTGTTCCCAACCCCTCCTACTTAACAATTCTGCGCTTCGGTGACCGGTACATTTACCTTTCAAAGCTGAACCTGGGGTCGAGTATTATCTCCTTTGAAGAAGGACCAGGAAGACCCTCCTCGGCCTGCCCCTGCTCCTCCGCTCACTGTGACGCCCTGAGTTGCCTTTCAGGCCGGCAGCCCCGGGGGTGGGGGGAGGGGGGGTGGCGCGGGGCTGCTGCAGGCCTGGGCGCTGGTCTGCAGGGTGGGCTGGTCTCTCGTTCTGGACTTCCAGGTAACCGGCAATTCCTTTCTCTGTCGTCGCTCCCACAGAGGACGGCCGTGTCTCCCGAGCTCCTCCCGCTCCCCCTCTTCCACGGCGGGTGTGACAAGCTAGGCTGGCTCCCCGAGGGCAAGGTGTTCAGTAACGTCCAGAGAGAGAGGATCATCTCCAGGTTCCTGAAGGAGAGCGTGCTCAAGAGAGTGTTCCGCTCCAAGCAGCTGAGGTGGGGAGGCCCCAGCTACCAGAAGGAGGATCCAAGCCACAGCTTTCCTGCCAGCAGAAAGTAAGTGCTGGGCTAAGTCACCCAGTGCGTCCAACTGTTTGCGACCATGGGGTCTGTAGCCCACCAGACCCCTCCGTCTATGGGATTCTCCAGGCAAGAATACGAATACTGGAGTGGGTTGCCCTTTCCTCCTCCAGGGGAATCTTCCCGACCCAGGGATGGAACCCGTATCTCTTAGGTCTCCTGCACTAGCAGGCAGGTTCTTTACTGCTAATGCCATCCAGAGAGTAAGTCCTAATTCCCAAACCCAAACCAAAATCCAAAGTGAGTGGGGGACATAAAGCTAAGGAAACCCAGCTATAGAGAACAGGCCCCTGGAGGACAGGGAGACATATAAAGCAACTCAAACAGCAGAAGTCAAATCTTGCAGGAAAATCGAAATAAAGGTGGAAATATGATTGAGAACTGGATCAAAAGTGTGAGTTATGACAGAGGCAGGTGAGGTACAGGCTGATGTCTGTGCCTGTCTTACATTTGGAAAGATATTCATGCACGTGTCTATCGCACGCCTTCTAGGAACAGACTTTAAACAAGATTTCTTACAACAGAATCAGGGCCTCCCAGATAAGGAAGGAAAGTGTTAAAGCTTAATTTTTAAAGCAAAAACACAACTTCTAACTAAAAATAACTCCATGAATATTTCTTAGAGCAGAATTATACAAATACAAGGAAGTTAGGCTATTTAAGGTAAATCTCACAGAAACTGAGTCCTAAATTGGAAATACATATAATTGGCCCTGACTGAGAGACAGCAGAAGCTGGGAAATGGGGAGGTAGGTGGTAGGGGGGGAGAGTAGGGGAAAACGAGTTACCTGGATGCACTAAATGCAAACTGCCCATAATTGAATTGGAGTCTTTCGCACTGACTTACAGAGTCTTAGCAGAGAACAAAAACGCATGTCATTGGGACTTCGCTGGCGGTCCAGTGGTTAGGGCTCCAGGCTTCCGCTCCCAAGGGTATGGGTTAGATCCCTGGTCAGGGACCTAAAATCCCACAGGCCATGCAATGTGGCCAAAGAAATGCATATTAGTAAGTAGAAAAGATGGTCCTGACTTTCTGAAAGCAAGTACATAGTTATACTTGCATGAGATCCTTCAGCAGAACATGACCCGCCCCGAGCTTGGCAATACCTGGCAGAATCGAGGGAGCAGGAGAGGGACGCGTGGAGCCACGGAGGGTGTCAACAGAGGCGGGCGGATGGCGAGAACTGTTCCCTTCAGGAGGACGAGAAGCTAAGCACTGTGGTTCCTGACCTCGTCCACAAGCCTGGACAGTGAGAAGGAACGTATGTCAGGCTGCTTCCCAAAATAGTTGTCAAGGATTCGTGTCACCTTTCCACAGCAAGAGAACCCGAGGTGGGAGAAGGCCCCGGCCCACAGGGTGACTGGCCGAGGAGCTCCCCTTCTGCTCGCCCAGACCAGCTCCGTCCTGACTGGCGGAAGAGTTTGTCCAACGCCACGAGACAGAGGCGACCTGGCCCTGCTTCATGGGTTAATCGGGAGGAATGGGCTGGAAGTAAGGCTGCCAGCAGAACTGAATCCCCGAGGAGGCCTGGGGCTGGTCAAGAAGGCTGGCCCAGGACCTGAGCCGCTCTGGAAAACAGCCCACGTCCAGCCCGTGCCTTGACTCTCAGGGCTGGACTGGAGGCAGACCAGCCTGCGGCCAGGCCCCACCCAGGCTCCCTGGCTGCTGCTCTCGTCCTCCACATCCACTGCTTGGCCCTTCCGCCCCTCGGGAGGCCTGGCCCCTCGCTCTCCCAGAACGCCCTGCGGGGACTGTGCAGTCGCTGCAGTGCTGAGCATGTGATGCTGAAAACCTCATCAACTGTTGACGTGGGGGGGAAGGGAGGCAGGGCTTTGATGCTGATGCAAACCCTTCAAAAAGTCTCCAGAGACAGGAAGAAGCATCAGAGATAATAGGAGAGTTTTTAAGAATATGTTCCGTGAAGGAAAAAAAAAGAGGATCTTAGAGGATGTGCTTATTCCCGGATGCCACAGCTCAGAGGGACCTGAAGGGATTAGGAATCAGGTCAAGTTCTGAAGCTAAAGGAAAAGAAGAGACAGGAAGAAAGGAGGATGGGGGCTGCATAAGCTACACATGACATGCACACACGCATGTGAAACGCACACGTGTCCGCACACACACATCATTTCTGTCTTCCAGCCAGAGAATAGAAAACTCTTTCCCACTTAAATACATTAGCCAGTGTTAGCTAGGAATACGTGGACCCCCACATGAGGTCACTATTTTTCAAGTAATTGTTAAGTTGGGAAATGTAAGGCCAGGTTCAGTTCAGTTCAGTTCAGTTGAGTCACTCAGTCGTGTCCGACTCTTTGCGACCCCATGAACCGCAGCATGCCAGGCCTTCCTGCCCATCACCAACTCCTGGAGTTTACTCAAACCCATGTCCATCGAGTCGGTGATGCCATCCAGCCATCTCATCCTCTGTCGTCCCCTTCTCCTCCTGATCCCAATCCCTCCCAGCATCAGGGTCTTTTCCAATGAGTCAACTCTTCGCATGAGGTGGGTGGCCAAAGTACTGGAGTTTCAGCTTCAGCATCAGTCCTCGACATTCACTCTTGCCATCTCCTGTTTGACCACTTCCAATTTACCTTGATTCATGGACCTAACATTCCAGTTCCCTATGCAATCTTGCTCTTTACAGCATCAGACCTTACTTCTATCACCAGTCACATCCACAACTGGGTATGGTTTTTGCTTTGGCTCCATCCCGTCATTCTTTCTGGAGTTATTTCTCCACTGATCTCCAGTAGCATATTGGGCACCTACCGACTTGGGGAGTTCCTCTTTCAGTGTCCTATCATTTTGCCTTTTCATACTGTTCATGGGGTTCTCAAGGCAAGAATACTGAAGTGGTTTGCCATTCCCTTCTCCAGTGGACCACATTCTGTCAGACCTCTCCACCATGACCGGGCCATCTTGGGTGGCCCCACACGGCATGGCTTAGTTTCATTGAGTTAGACACAGCTGTGGTCCTGTGATCAGATTGGCCAGTTTTCTGTGATTATGGTCTTAGAGTTTCTGTTCTGTGACGCCCTCTCGCAACACCTACCAGGTTAGTCATTTATAAAACAGGAATCACTAGAAGTACCACCCTCCCTGGGCTGTTGAGTATTACACTGGTTAATCTCTATGAAATGTTCGGCAGTAGGCCTGAACATAGTAACCACACCATACAAAAGAATTTCGTCTTGGGGGTAATTTAACCCAAACACGTATGGACTGTCTATGATGCCAGGCACTCTGTCACTCAGAGAAAGGCCAGGTCTCGGCTTGGAGGTGTTTAAAAAGGTAGCGAGTGAGAAATTGTAAATGAGTATAACTGATGCAACAGGTGAGCAACGAATTGAAAGCAAATCCTGCTACCAACCCAAATCAGGGTCTAGGAGGCGGGAGCGGGCCGGCGGGCGGGATCGGACGCAGGGTCTGGGTCCTGGACTGGGGGTGCGGTCGCGCTGCGGGTCCGCGGTCGGGGGGCGGGGCCGGGCTGAAGGCCAAGGATGGAGCCTGGACCTGGAGCAGGGCCCGGCGGGAGGCCGGGTAGGGGTCAGGGTCAAGGCCGGGGGCGGGGTCGGCGGCGGCCGCGGCCAAGGCCTCAGCGGTGGTCGGCGTGCGACGGGGCGCTGCCTCTGTCCTCCCCGCAGGCCGGCCGAGCCGGAGGCCGGGCGCGCGGAGCGGCTGGGGCGCCCGGGCGGCAGCGCGCGCGGAGACGCGGCCGGGGACGAGCCGGGAGCCAGCGGCGCCGAGCGGTAAGTGACGGCCGGGGCGGCCGGGCGCCCCCCTCCCCTCCCCTCCCGCCCCAGTTCAGAGGCCGGGAGCCCCCGCCTCGGCGCGCCTCCCCCGGCCCGCCCCGTCGCCCCCGCCTGTCGGCTCCCCGGGCGCCGAGCGTCCCCGAGCGGCGTCCCTCCGGGACCGACGGCCGTAGACGCCCGGCGAGAGCCCTGCCCTCCGCGGTAGCAACCGTCTGTCTGTGTTTTTGCAGCGGGTCCGAACCCGCGCCTTAATCCGCCTCGGCAACGCCGTGACGCTTGCTGCGCCCGCAGGCTCTGCCTCGAGCCGCGGTGGCCCGGGACCAGGGTCGTTTGGGGTGGGAAACAGGCCTTTCGGCCGATCTGAGGCGCTTGGCGGGGTGGGGGCGCGGGGGATCTGCCCTGCCCGTGCGGAAGGTGGATCCTGCTTTCCATCGGGGCCCCTGGCTTAAATGCTGAAAAGCAGACTGCTCGACCCTGTGTCTTAATTCCAGACGATTCTAGCTTGTGTTTTAATCTTCGATCTGATAGTAGCCCCCTTCTCGGAAACCTTCGTTTCCGTCTTCTGTCACTTAGGTCTCCCCGTTTGCTCTTTTCTGTGCCCCCCCCTTGTCTGGCTGGCCTGGGTTCCCAGTGAACCCCCTCTTGTGAGCCGGCCTGCCCTCAGGCCAATCTCTCCTCTTCTAAAGCGTTTTCTTAACCTCTGGACGCTCTCTCTGCCTCAGCGGCGGGCCTCACCCTCCGTGTGCTGTCTGTCCCATACCTGTGCAGGATTCCCAGGAAACCGAGGAGCAAGATGGGCAGAAAAACCGGTGAGAGCAGCGGGCCCGGCCCGGGCGCGGCCGTCCCCTGGGAGGTAGGTGCAGCGAACCGCGCGGGGGCGGAGCACCCCCTCCCCACCCACCCGCCGCGGTCAGCGCCTCCGCAAGGGGCCCCCCGCGCGCCCTGCTGCCCCCCCGGGAGCAGTCTGCACTCCACCTCTGGGTGCGTTTGCAAGACCAGATGGAAAAGTTCTCTTTAAAAAAATTTTTTTTTAAAATTTTATATTGGAGTTTAGTTGGTCGGCAATGTGTGTCAGTTTCAGGTGCTCAGCACAGGGAGGTTGTTATACATATAATCCATGCTTTTTCAACTTCTTTTCCCGTTTATCTTATTACAGAGTACTGAGTAGGCTCCCCTGAACATATTTTATGTCCTTTAACAAAGGGCAAGTTAACCAGCTTCTCTGCAAGTCTCCAAACATTTCTGATTGCAATTGGATTTCGTGAAACATGCCACCTTGATTCATCCACAGTGCTTACCTGTTTAATATCCTTACATGTTTTCTGAAAAATATTGGCGGCAGGTGGAATATCATCTAGGAGGGCCCAGTTACCACCTGCAGGGAGTTTACAACGTGGCGGATGTCGTGGCAGCTGACGGCCTTGCTTACCTGGTGACTGCTTCCTTCTATGCTGTGAGCTCAGCGGATGCCTTTGCTTCCTTCTAGGCCGTGAGCTCAGCGGATGCCTTTGCTTCCTTCTAGGCCGTGAGCTCAGCGGATGCCTTTGCTTCCTTCTAGGCCGTGAGCTCAGCGGATGCCTTTGCTTCCTTCTAGGCCGTGAGCTCAGCGGATGCCTTTGCTTCCTTCTAGGCCGTGAGCTCAGCGGATGCCTTTGCTTCCTTCTAGGCCGTGAGCTCAGCGGATGCCTTTGCTTCCTTCTAGGCCGTGAGCTCAGCGGATGCCTTTGCTTCCTTCTAGTCCGTGAGCTCAGCGGCGCAGTTTTCGTCAGCTGCCCTTCATCGTGTTACTGTAGAGCTGTTCCTCTCACAGGTTGTTTTGTACCTTAGGGAACCGGGATTACAGAGCCCAGAGAAGCTTGAGAATCCGTCAGGAGGCTCTAAAAATACAAGTGTCTGGCCTCATCCTACTCGATCAGAATCTGTGTTTTTCAACTATTTTTTTTAAATTGCGTGTATTTACTTATTTCTTTTTGGCCGTGCTGGGTCTTCCTTGCTGCGCGTGGGCTTGCTCAGCTGGCGGTAAGAGGGGCCCGCTCTGCTTGCGTGCGGGCGTCTCACTGTGCCGGCTTCTCTGGTTGCGGAGTGCAGGCTCTAGTGGCCCATGGGCCTGGGAGTTGCAGTTTGCGGGCTCTGGGGCTCGGGCTCATAGCTGCGGCGCTCGGGCTTAGCTGCTCCGCAGCCTGTGGAGCCTTCCCCAGCTGAGGACCGAACTGGTGCCCCCTGCCTTAGCAGGCAGATTCTTAGCCACTAGACCACCAGGGAAGCCCTCAACTGTTATTTTTAAAGAGCACCCCTGGTGATTCTCATGCGGAGACTAGATCCAAAGCACGTTCTCTCAGAGAACAAAGAATTTTATTAACTTTTTTTTTTGTAAATAAAAGCCTCTGGGAAAAGATAAACCAAGGCCCACCTTCCGAAGGCCAGCTCTCCTTCCTGCCAGGAGGTAACTTCCTTGTGGATCAGTTAAGTTCTCTTCCTGTATTTAAGCTGCTTTGTCCCTCCTCCTCCTTAGCGCGGTGATGATGACCTAACACTAGCTGACATTTCATTGGTGTGAATGTTGCTTAAAGTGTAGTTTACAAAGGGTTTTCTCATTTGAGATAACAAAGCTGCTGAGTTCATCCCTCAAATGTTACTTTTTAAAAATGTATTTCTTTACTTATTTTGGCTGTCCTCGGTCCTTGCTGCTGCATGTACTCTGGCTGTCCCGGGTCTCTGTCACTGCCTGCAGGCTTTGTCTAGCTGGGGCGAGCGGCGCTGCTCTCCTTGCAGGGCGGTGGCCCCCTGTCTCGGAGCCCGGGGCCCTGGGCACGCGCTGCAGTGGTTACGGTTTACAGGTTCCGGAGCACGGCTTCGACAGTTGGAGGGCTTCATTGCTCCGTGTGGGATCTTCCAGTATCAGGGACTGAACCCACGTCTCCTGCGTTAGCGGGCAGATTCCTCACCACTGAGCCGCCAGGGAAGCCCTCAACCGTTACTTTTTTTTAAAGTAAACTGCCCACCTCCTCACTTCCCCTTTTCCAGGACAAACTTCTGCAGACCTCTCCTGCACACCCCTGCCTTTCCCCATAGCGGTCAGCACAGTGTCTGGAACGTGAATCCTCAATAGATACTGTACCTTTCCTTATTCATTTCTTGCCTTTAAAAAAAAAAATTTCCTGCATGTTTCTCAACATCTGGAGTCTGGAATGAGATGCGGGCTAGTCAGTGTGGAGTATGTGAGGGTCAGAGGATTTTGTTCTGTTGATGGAAAGACTTTCATAGACTCTCAGATCTGGTACTCAGATACAGAAAATCTGGTGAATGAGCCATCATGTGCCCAGGACACACTGGACTGGACGCTTTGTCATGTTTTTAAATCAGTTTTGAAACGAAGCCATCAATTCGTGTAAAAGCCTTTCCATTTCCTGAGGTGTTATCCAGCTGATAGTTTAAGGCGAACGGTCTCCACTCCTCAGAAATGCTGAGTGTCCTTATGGGGTGGAGGTGGGGGTCATAGACCTTGGTGCCTTTTGTCATATTTCACCCAAAGGACCTATAAAATCATGTATTTGGGCTTGTAAAATTTTCTTACATTAAGTTTATCCTAAAACAAATATTGTTTTAGAACTTGTCTCCCTGGAATTTGGATGCAGAAGTACCTGTTCCTGAAAATAAAAGCTTCCCACCTGTGAGGGATGGCGCCACAGGTGGTAAGAAATCCTTGGTGTGTCTGCTTATATTTATAAATATATGAAAACTTATATCCCTAAGTGTAATAGGAACAACCACTCAAATTAAAGGGGGCTTGTTTTGAGTATCACCAGTTTTATGTAACTATTAATTGTCATTTTTTTTCCATATACATTCTTTCAGGCAAAATTAACAAGGTAAGGATAAATATTTGGTTTTAAATAACTCACAGCACATTAACATGACATTGTGTGTTCCTTAAAGAAAGTTTCTTTCCTTTAAGTTAAACTTTAAATTTTATTTCTATGGAGTTCTTCAAACAAGTCAGTGCCTTTGTTTACTGTTTTACAAAGCTGCAAATAGGTCATTAAGTGAATATCTTATTATATCATTTTTTCAATATAACAATATTATAAATGGAAATTAACACTGTAATGAATATAATATGTTCTAGTCACTGCCAGAAGGGAGGTGGCCTCAGCTCTTAAGATGCCTTAAGGCAGTTGAAATGGTTGTATTTTGAAGTAGTGAAAGAATTAATCTTTCTCATTTGCTTTTATTGATCAAAATGTAAAACAGTTAACTGTTAATAAAATAAAGACAATTTTAATGATAGTCAAGTCTTACTAGTTAACATTGTTTAGTTGATCTTTATAAATGGATTATACTATTCCTACGAGGTCAGTACAGACCAATATGTGTATGAGGGAGAATTATCAGTCTAGCCCATATTGCTTGGTTAGAACAAGAACTGTACATTCTTAGAACAAGAGTCGGGAGTAGAGATGCTGGGTGTTTAAATGTCTTCTGCCGCTTTATAGAACCACCTGGAAATTCCAGCAGACCAGCTCCTACTGGAGCTCCCTTTCTCAGAGTTCCTGCCGCAGAGAACACAGGTGGGGTTCTATCCATCACACTTGGAAAGTATTGTTATTATTTCTAAAAAGCATTCAGTAACTAAAACGTCGTCCGTGGTTTTTCTCAGAACAGTAAACAAGGGCTATTCCAGCTGTGGAGTTACCCTCTGAGCGAAGCAAGCACCGTGGAGCTCAGGTGAGGCAGTGTTCATGACCGTCAACCCCTAACTCAGTGAGATAAAGGTAACTACGGATGGATTCGCCCCTCAGTTGAAGTGGGAGGCCAAAAAACAACCGGAAGCGAAAAGGACTGTGTGCAAATCGTGGGGAAAGCCCCGGGAAAGGGAGTGGCCGAGCGTGCGGGGAGCCGTGAGCAGGCCTCGCCGCGGAGGGGCTGGCCTCCTCGCCCAAATGAAAAGGGGCCCTAGCGGGGAAGGGGTACTTCACGTGCCAGGGATGGTTTTCAGCGCGTCCCTGTGTTCGCTCTGAGCCCGCACGACAGTCCCGGTTGGGAGGTCTGGTGACAAGCGATGGAAGGCTGAACCTGGATGGGAAAGCTCGGCTCGTGCTCCGAGACCCCCTTCCTCCCTTCAGACCCTCTCTGGGGTCCGAATTCTTCCTTTTTGGTTCTTCGGTGTGCGCGAGAACCAGCTGGAAGGCGTCTCCAAACAGCAGGTCAGAGAGACGGGGACGTTTCCGTGGCCGGAGCGCCGCCGTTTGTCGCTTGTCGCTGCCCGTCTGCCTGCGGGCGTCGCGGAGTCGGGCTTCTCTCTGGTCCCCGGCTCTGAGCGTCGGGCGGTGCCCCAGCAGCCGCTCTTCCTCGGTGGAGGGATCTCCGTGCGCTCGGGGCGCGGCCCTCCTCGTGCGAGGCTGGGGGCAGATGGGAGGTGTGAAGGGGGCTGTAGTGACTCGCGTCCGGCCTGATGGTACTGATCGGCGGGGGAGAAAGGCTGCTTCTACGAGCAGGAGCTCGCAGGGTGAGGTCGGTGAAGCTAGAGGACGCAGATGGAGTCAGCAGAGGGCGGTGGCTGGGGCCACGAGCGCGGGCTTAACCCCAGCTCCTCCGCTTACGGGATGTGTGCCCTCAGCCTGCCTGGGCCTGGCATCCCTGATCCTCCAAGGGAGACAGTGAAACTGCCGATCTCGTGGGCTGCTGGGCGGACTGCACAGTTGATGGGTGTTCACAGCCGGTACTGGCCAGGCCTGCTGATGCTGCGGAGTTGGAAGCTTGGAGGCAGAGAATTATTTTGCTAATGAAATGTTTCTCCTCAGTGTCAACAAAGAGAGTAAAAGTCGTGACAGCTTACGTGAGTGTTTAACAGTTTGCAGAGTGTGTCGGGTAATTGTCTCGCCTCTCAGACCACCTCCAGGGTGGATAATTTCCACTTTGTTCCCTGGTGGCAAAGCTGTCCGGCCACAGTCTTCCACATTGAGATTTTGTGCTCTTTTTTTGTTTGTTTGCTACATGGATTGTCTGTTATCAAGTATAGATTTAAGGTGATTTTCCTGTGATTTTTCAGAGGCAAGTCATTCAACCTAGTGCTTAGCTAAATGAATAAATTTTTACCATTTTCTGTATTTTTGTAAACCCCTCAAGACTGCTGTGTTGACTTTAGCGTAAGTTGGCTTTAAAAGAAACAAGAAGATAATGCAACTGTATATATGTCAATTAATGCATCAAAATTTTTCATGGCAGTATTTCTAGGAAGTGTTTAAAACATACTAACTGTAAATTCAGTATTCTATGGCCTGGCTTTTTTGCAGTTTTCATTTGAATATAATACCTAGAAGTATTACCCCTAAAATGAAAGCGTACCGTCAGATGAAAATTGCTATAGACTATATCTGGGATAATTTTTGTTTATAGCTAGACATTGTTTTGCTTCCTTTTTTGGTTAGACTCATTTTTTAAAAACCACAGTGGCCCAAGTAGAAGCCTTTCTTAAGTAACCTGACTACACTCTTTGAGAGTTTCCTTTTTGTTTAATTCTTGGTCAATAAACAGCTCACTGTAATTTCAGTTTGAGGTGGAGAGCCTCCTTCTCAGACATCATAGTTACACATACAGTATATTCAGAGGCAGGTAGCCATAATCAGCCACGTGTAGCCTTGTGGCCACTCATAGTCAGTTAACCACTTGTAGATAGAGTGGTCTAGTCACCTATGCACGTACAAAGGACTGCCCAGTTATTATTTCAATCTATACTTTTAAAAACGTATAGTTGTGTATAGTTAGAGCATATTTGAAAATTAACACGTTTCTGTTACAGATAGATATACATGCCATTGGGGGCTAAACATTAGTTGGTCTTTGATAAAGTTTTCTTATTCATTATTTTAATAGCATTTTAATTCTAGGCAACCAGCCATTCATTATATAAATCATCTTTTAAGGGATTTCAAAATATCTTCAGTGGGAACTGGCTGTGATATGACCAATAATCCCATCAGGCTCTTTGGTGTGAACCCCCCGCTGACAAGTGCCTCAGTGGACAAGCTGGCTGGCTCCTGCCCCGCACTGCAGGTACCATTAAGTCTCTGCTGTACATATGCTGATGGAGACTTTTTCAAGGACAGGAATGAGCCTCATATTCATTTATGCTCAACTCTAGAAAACAACAGTGGAGAACTTTTAACTGCTCCAAACTGGAATCTGAAGTATGGAAATAGCAGTGTGGAGGAAAATTTAACAGATGAAAGCGATTTATCAGAAAATGAAAAAGCAAATGATACTCTACTCAGCTATTTTAAAAAGATGGACCTGAACTTAAAGCCAGAAACAATAGAAAATGTTGAAGAAACTTTCACAGAGGAACTGAATGAAGTATTTCCATATCCTGATTTTCTTCCTCCTCCTTTCAGTACTTTGGACTTGCACAAATTGGCCCTCTCAAAATCTGATAGTTGGAAAATGACGGTGGAGGCTCCGGACAGCTCTCTGGAGCCGCTGATGGCTCGTTTGCTGGACATGGAAAGACTTCAGCAGCTGACCATTCAGAGAGAGAGGCCCAGACTGCAGACCTCCTTCTGTGCCCCGGTCGTCACCGAACGATCCCCTTCCTCCAAAGCTGTCTCCAAAACAAGACAGCCCAAACCCCCTGACGCGGTGGGTCTTCAAATGGCTTGTGTAGAGAAAAGTTATGAGAAAAGAAAAAACAGTTCTGGTTCTTACAAGCCTGAACACAGTGCTCCCAAGTGGAACTGGAACGGCGCTGGCAAATACAAGTGGAGTTCTAGACCAGCTCTGAAAGCCTCATCCACCCCAAAACAGGTCATTGCAGCTCATGATGACTTTAAGAACCCCAAAATCTCTGTTTTAAACCCATGCCAAGAACTCACAATCAAGCCCGCTCCTGTCCAGACGACTCAGCTGCTGGTTAAAACGGTCTCAGCCAGATGTCTGCCACCAAAGTCTCCTACACCAATTTCACCCATACCTCTGTCTTTTCCTGATAGTCACAGGGAAGAGACTCAGGCACCAAGGTCCAAAAAGAAACTTTACCGAAAAGACGTAGTGCTGAACAGACCATTCTGTGTTCAGAAGCTGAACTGTTGTTTATCACCTTCATTAATAGCTAAGGATAAGTGCTCACCCACTGACCAAAAATAACATAACTGTCTTCTTTCCTGCATCTCAACATGAGCAAATCTATTCCAAGAAGCCCAGCTAAAATACAGTTCCTTATTCCGAGATACAGGTATTATACACGCACACGTGCGCACACAATCCCTGAGCGTGCTGTGGAGTGGAGCTCGGGAGTCCCAGCCGAGATGTCTACACGGAAGCCAAGGGCTTCCCTGATGTTCCGAGATACAGGTATTATACACGCACACGCACGCACACAACCCCCGAGCGTGCTGTGGAGTGGAGCTCGAGAGTCCCAGCCAAGATGTCTACACGGAAGCCAAGGGCTTCCCTGATGATGCCTCCTACATGCTGTTTCTAAGGAATGTTTCACTTGGAAAACCATGCTGCTCAAGGTGGTTCTCTTGCTGTGATTATTTTCCAGTGTAATTCCATCATCAATAAATGATATAACAGACTTATCACAGAATAGCCCAAATCTCTCATTCACTGAATTGTCCCCAAGACTTTACTGCTGGAGTCGCCAGGCAAAAAACAATGTAATTAATGAGGTGGTGCGAGTGGTAAAGAACCTGCCTGCCCTTGCAGGAGACGCAAGAAGCATGGGTTTGATCCCTGGGCGGGGAAGATCCCTTGGAGAAGGAAATGGCAACCCACTCATCAATATTCTTGCCTGGAGAATTCCAAGGAGAGAGGAACCTGGCGGGCTACGGTCCATGGGGTTGCAGAGTCAGGATTGAAGGGACTCTGCACACAGGCCTAACTGACATCCTTCTCTACACTTGAGAATCGGGAAACAAGAGGGTCCTGGTTTCTCTTGGAGCCCTGTGGAAAGAGGGTCTTTGGGAGGGGCCCAGGGCTCCCCTCTGAAAACAGTATCCAGGGTGAGTTTGACGCAGGTGGCTCTGGAAACACTTGGAAAACACGGCACAAAGCAGGAAGCCTGGCGCAGCCTGCCTGGGCCGGAGTCTGGGTGTCTCGGGGCAGCGGGCTTTGGTTTTAGTGGATGGTTGGTGAATAATTATTAATGATTAAAACTTCAAACATCACCTAAAGGAAAAACAGAAAAGTCGTCTTCCTACCCCCAACCCCTTCCAAAAAGGCCGTCACTATGAAGTTTTTGCATATCATCCCCCCAGTAAGGTGGCATATTGGAGTGGAGATTAAAGGGCGACTTGAATGAATGTTGAAGAGGCAACTGTCGCTTGTTCCCTCCATTGTATCATTAGGAAAAGAACACGATTCAAATAGTACTTAGAGGCAGGGGCCAGGGTATGCTTAGTTTTTAGGTTAATTTCAAAGAATGTTCTGGAACAACAGTAATAAAAAAAATAAACCTAATTGTTCAGGATCCCTTATAATAGACTTTTACTTGAATTCCACACAATTAGGATCATGAGCCAAACGGCCTAACAGCCTTTCCACAGATTTTCACAAAAGTGGGCTTGTGCTTTAACTCCATTCTGACCAGTTTCCCCACCAGCGCTTCCTTCTTTCCTACAGTTCTGAGTCCTGAACCCACACACCAATCCTCTATCCATTCTCACTCCTGCCACCTTCACCTGTTGGCCTTTCAGGCAGGCCCTCACCTTTAGAGCAGCAAGATCTCATTTTCATTCATAAATCCTTCGGCGGGGACATGCGTCCTGTTCGCTGCTGTGCCCCGACTGGCGTGTCACAGACGCCCTTCAAGGTCTCTGGCTGGGACGTGGAGCTCAGCCCCCACACAGGCTTGTGGCGTCCCCGCAGCAGCTGTGGACACTGGCCCCTTGCCCAGCTGTCTGCATGCGGACCCGGGCTCCGCTAACAGCTCTGAGTCCTCAGGCAGGCTCCCTGACTTCTCTGTTCTTCCCTTACCTGATCTGCAAAGTGAGGAGGAGACCTTTTATCTCATATAATCAAGAGCCTGGCGAGTTCAGGGAATGTATCAAGGAGAGCAGGAAGGACACAGGAGGGCAGAGGGTGCCCTAGGCCGCCTCGGACCTGGACCAAGTTCAGGATAGACCGTCTGTATTCCCACTTCTCAGAGGCGCGTGCCGGGCACGGGCGACGCGGTGTGCAGTAAGAACGCAAAGCCTGCCTTTTGGGAAGACAAGGGGCAGGAGCTGGGTGCGGGAGACAGGAACGTCTGCCGGGGTCCTGTGACGAGCATGTCCATGAAGATCGATGCGAGACAGCAGGTTAGAAACAGTGTTCCTCACTTCACATGTCAGACACGAGACGCAGGCAATGAGACATCAGGAGGCAGCAGGGTAACAAGAGGCGTGTTTATTACATTTTCCTAGTAGGTCAATTGGGAACATTGCTGCTGAAATGCAAGTTACAACTCAAAGGACACTGGGAATAATTAGGATACATATTGAGCATTTTCAGAGGTCAGCTTCCGTATCTTGATCACTAAATGGAAAGATTCTTCAGAAGAACAGTCCCTTACCCTACATGTGGAAGAAGAAAAAGATGCCACGATGATGAAATCTATCAAAGTAACCGGAAAGCATTTTAAAAGTCAATTTGGTGCACATTAATTGACATAAAAAACAAATGAATTTGTAGTGAACGCTTCTATAAAAATTCACATCTGAACTAGGATGCTATGAAAAAGAAAGCACGTCAGGAAGCTGTCCAAACTAAGTGACTGTACGTGAGACATCTGGCTTCTTTCCTATCTCAGTATTTAGAAGGGAAATCCTCAACTGCTTGACCTGCATCTGAAGACACAGGATTCCTGCTGCAGAGATTCTTTCTCCCCAGCTAGCTAGAGTTCCACTATGAAACCACGATAAACTACAGGTGGAAAGGAGGTGGCGTGCACCCCAGGACAAGTCACAGCTCACTGCCTCCACCACATACCAAAGACATGTCCTGAGTATGTCTCAGGGAAAGAAAGTGGTAATTACAGTGATAAAAAAAAGTGTTTTTTAACACAAAAATTATTTTGAGAAAAAGAGTGGAATGAAACAGGCATTGGGGAATAAAGAAGGATGCTATTAATAAGAACTGAGGATGAGCTCATGCTGGGAGGGTCCTAAGGTTTATTTAGCCTTGGAGGACAACAGGTCTACCCGAAGAATGATCCTAAGACGTGTAGCACCACTCCGCCAACTACAGAGAAAACTACGCTCTGTGGGTCACGTTCTAGGACTTACAGACCCTCAAGTCTCACAATCACTTGATACTGTTTTGGCCACACCGTGAAACAAAGCCAAACCTTCCTGAGAGAAACGGCAGAGTGGCAACACAGGCACGCCCGCCTTGGGGGCCTGCCGCCGCCTGGCGCCGCCCCGAGGCCCCGCGGAGCCCCAGGTCTCCGGAGACCGCGGGCTCCCATACAGCTCCGTGGGCGAGGACCAAGCCCACTCACGGAGGAACCGCAGGAGTGCCGAGTCCGGAACACCAGCAACCTAGGGGATGCCCTTCTCACTCCCCCTGAGGACCACGGCAGGGTCCCCGGGAGCTGAGCAGCACTGAGGCCTTCTTTCTATCCCTGGGCATCGGCCAAGAAGCACGCCCCCCGCGGCGGAAGGCTGCCTCCGAATGGAGGCTCTTGGCGGCTGTGGTTTTTCTAGCAGTCTGCAGGGACCGACTCTGACAGCCATGTGCTACGCGGGCTCTCCCCGTCCACACTAACACTGCTAGGTCTGACACCTCCTTTCACTCCGGGGGAGGGCGGGGGCAGGGGCAGGAAGCGTGATGAGTGAGCACTTTACAATGAACACGGGAGCACTACTCTCAGTACCAAAACAGCAATGCACCCTACATCATCATGCTGGAAACGGAAAAACCAGACAGAAATTAAATGGAGGGTTCTTTTTTCTTAAATCTTTTATAGGACAGAAACCTTAGCTCATGTCTTCTGGTGGCATCATCTTCCACTGAGCTGCACCTACAACACAAAGAACAAGTAACAAGCAACTTTGTTTGTTTTTTTAAAGAACGCGTTAACAGTTTTGAAGGCATAAGATGAACTGTTTCTAGTGGAAGTTAGCTTACTTAAATAAGTATACAAAACGAAGCCATGAAAAGTCACCAGAAACATACAAATGTTAACTATTTTGAGTGACAATCAGTGGGAAACACTCGACTGTGCAGCACGTATCTGTCCGCCAGAGCGAACATGGTGGGAAATCGCTATGTTTAGTTCCGGCAGGAGAGCTGCACCGTGAGCCTTGCTTACAAGGCCTCACCGCCTGAGGACGAGCACGCCTGGCGTTCACGTCGGCTTAGGGCTAAACCACACGGAGAGGGGGGCACAGAGTCAGAGCTGGCCTAGGATAGCATCTGCACCTTCCGGGCTGCAGGTCATTTCATGCCTTTAAATGGAGCAAAACCCACCAGAAGGAGGCTGCTACTCTGATTTTCCATTCTTGAATGCACCAAAACGTGCATGCGTGTTGTACTTAGGTGCCTGGGTGAATAAAAAAATCCCATTTACAATTTTAAAATAGTATGTTAACCTCTAAAAATCTGATTATTTTCCACACTCCTCAGGGAGACAAGCATTGATTTTACCACCCAAACAGAAAAGATTACATTTCTGAAAATTCTCTACCATGTTAAAAAAGTTACTAATCCCTTTGTGTCGCAAAACCAAACTGATTGACATGATTTTGATTTAAACTGTTGCTAAATGTTTATCTACACATGCTGTCAGAAATAACCTTGTTAAGAAGGTGCAGCTGGTGTCTCAGCAAATCAGACCCTGGAGAAGGCGGTGAGTGGCCTGTGCCCCGTCTCCTTTTCTCTTTCCGCACCATCAGAAGGAAAAGTGAGAAAACAGCAGAAACATTAGTTAAATCCTGGACGCCACCCCACAACCTACAGGAACTACCTCACTACACTGAAAGCTGACAATACTGGTAGAATTTTTTGATGACATAATTAGGATCCTAATTATTAATAAAATTATACATTTCTGGTTAGGTTACACCTTTAGCGAGTAATTCTCTCAGTTAAAGAATTAAAGGAAGAAACGCAAGGCTGCCTTTCATTCTGCGTGGTTTACCTGACTTACCAGCACTGAAGACAAAACCTTTAAAAATGGCTACCAATGCCTTGTTCACAAAAGACTTTATTATCTAGTGATGCATACTGAGAACATACAGAAATCTGCATGGTCCACGCACATGCAGCAGAACAATCTTCACTTTACAGTAAGTGAGGGTCAACTGTTTTATGCAGTAGACAACACTTTAAAGTCACATCCTTAAAGAAAAGCTTCATTTTACAAAAGAAATAAAAGGTAAAGAAGCAATTACCGCTTTTAAAAAGCAGCTGCTTTGTTCAAGAGTGGAAGGTTTATGCCTGTATTGAAAGACAACATGATCACAAATAATGAAAACAATGAACAAATGAGAAACACTTTTTACCATAAAGCATACACTTTCAAAATGACATACAAATAGTTAAAAATTTCATTACGTTGTTCTATCTAGCTTTTAAATATGAGGACTTCCAGAATTAGGCCTCAACATGTGTTATCAGTAAAGGGAACTACGCACTGTTTCTGTCACTAGGAACTGTATTTAACAAAATGTGTATAAAGTCTATAGCAAGTTGATTTAAAAAAATGAAAGTTGCTAAGAAACAGTACACTGAAGGCGCTCTATCCATCAAGCGCATTCTCTTCAAATTGCAAATGTGATGAACAGAACAGAAACTGTAACTACTCCACAGTTGTGATGCCAAAAAATAAAACAAGAGCAGCTCTCACACATGCGGGGGATTCTGCCACAACGCTAACGTCCCTCATTTGTCAACTGTCCCGGTAAAGTAACGTCTGACACAGCGGGGTGTTGATGGTCCAGCTTACCTTCAGTGTACTGAGTGCTGCAGAGAACCTGCTTTAAAAGAGGAGGCCGTCCCTGCAGGCAGGCTCAAGAAGGAACAGAGCCTTCGGCACTGACTACACCCAGGGCATGCTGCTGTGCCTGCACACACACACCTAGGAAAACGTGAATATAAACAGCATTTATGCTGGCCATTTTATCCGAAGACCAAAATGAAGCCAAGTTTGCTAAAGTAAATCAACCACCCATACTACTACTCATTTTATAACAGGTGCTTTTGTCTTTTATGTGAACTGCAACCATTTACATTAGCACTGTAATTCTGTGCAGTCTTGGCGATTAAAACAGTCCTACAGTGAGATTTCACATAAGACACAAAACAGATTAACTAACATTTCTAAAAGAAATATCACCCTTGGTGTTAATTCAAATATATCATGCTTCCTCAAATTTGCTGGAGAAATATTTATAAGTTTATATACATTAATAAACTGCTGTGAAATTTCTTCAGTCTTTGTATTTAGTTACTCAAACCCTTGGAGCTTCTTCATCTCAGTTAAATCTTCTCCTGGATGAAGGCGTGCTGCAGGGCCTGGTTGATGCTAATCCGCTTAGCCGGGTCCAACATGAGGATCTGGTCCAACAAGTCCTTCAGCTGGTGTACTTTTTTACGTTGGTCTTCAGGAAGTCGCTGGCACCCAATCAAGTCAGCCAACAGGTCCTTAGTTGGATTAATGGTGCTCATGACAGTAACTTTCTCCTACAAATAATTTTTTAAATGTGTATCTCTAAATAAATTACTAGACACATATAACCTAAAAACTTAAATGAAAAGGGTCAACCCCAAGTTAGCCATGATGGCTTTTTTAAACATGGTTCTGTAATTTTATAAAAAGATCAGTATAAGAACAGAAAAGAATGCTTCGAGAATTCAAAATCACAGCTGGTGCGTGAACACAAGCAAGGGGTCTGCAACAGCACACGCCCACCGGCCTACCACCAGGCACGGAGTGCTCGTCCATGGAGTCGCAAGGAGGGGGACGTCCCCCACTGGGGACAGCAGGCTCTCTGAGGAATTAAGTACAGTATTTTACAGGTAAGAGGCGCCAGGGAAGAATTTTTAATCAGGGAGAGTAACACAATCAGATTTGTTTTTAGATCTGGAAGCAGCAGGGAAGCTGAATGTGAAGCCAGACCAAGAAAGTGATCCAAGGAAGGAGAAAAATGCCTAAATATGATAAACTCATGGTAGGCAAACTTTTTTACATCTCTTCATCTTTCTATAACCTGATGTGTCTTATTCAGGAATCGGTCAACAGGAACAGGAATTATTTTTAGTGTTTTAAAATAGTCACAGCTCCTAGACCATCCAACACTCAATCCATCCATGAACTGTAAGATAATCATTTAAGGCAGCACACCCAAAAGACACTTACCCTCTCGGTTACTTTATCAACTTCTATGTACATGAAGTTGAGGTTTTGATCAAAATGCTGGTCTTTAAATACGCCTTTCCGAATCATCTGGCAATAAAACGAAAGTAGGATTTTGAACTCTTACAAAACAGTCTGATCTACCGATAACCTAATATATAAGTCACACAAATATTACTATTGGTCTCTCTGGGTTTGTTTACTTATTTGAAAATGATATCAGATTCCTTGCTCTTGAGAAAGTAACATATTTGGAAAAAATATAAATGTTGTACCTAAAACTACTTAATAACATGAAATTAATTTTCCCAGGCAGTGAGTTAAATAAACCCATTACAATATCAAGTTGTACTTTCATTATTCAAAACTGAAGACTAAACAAAGACTTAAACCAGCTGTTCTTAGATAGGAAAAACATTATACAATTGGGGCCTTGTCTCTTGGCAGTTTAAGAAACCTCAGGACATTTTAAAACGTTATGTTCTAGTAACAGCCTTGAAATGACACCAGGTCAGACCTCATTAAAGCAAAAACCAACATAACTAATTTCTGTCTTAAAACAAGTTCAACACAAGAGAATTTGAATAGAACCTAAGAAGATGTCATTTCATGTGGCTTTTCTTGGCACCTTTTTCTTTGCCGAGCAGCGTCCAACCTTGAATAAACCGAGTGCCCTCGAGTCCCGCTTCCGATAGCCGGCCTGTTCTTCCTTGAGGACCAGGTCCTTCCTCTGACTCCTTCCAACCTAACCAGCACCTGGTTCCCACCGCACTGTCACCAGTATAGGTGTGCACTCCAGGAGCACTGCCGCCGCTCTGCCCATCACCCAGGGGCAGGCAGTGGGATAAGGGAAGGCTACGGAGATGTGGGAACAGCCACATCCTCTGCCCGCACCCGCCCCCCCCAACGCAGCCCCACCCTAAACACCCTGCTGCTAATTCAGGAGGGGAAAGAAATGTACAAGGACAGGCTTCAGATAGGAAAAGGAAGATGGGATTCTCTCATCCTGTCCTGGTAACTCTTGGCTGCTTAGACCCCTAATTTAAGCACCATACACGAGAAAGAGCTCAGGAATCAGAAGAGCCAGCTATCTGCCTCTCAGAAACTGGTCTACAGTCACGAGGGGTGAGCGTCAGCCACCCACAAATCCACAGGATGGTACGGCTAAGACCTTAAAAACAAGTTCACCCAAACATCCTACCTTATTTGGCATCTTTCCTTTGAGATCCATGGCGAGCTTCAACATATGGTTATTGGTTTTGCCAGGAAATAAAATTTTTCCAGTATAGAGTTCATATAAGGTGCAACCTACAGACCACATATCTATACCATAGTCATAGCTTTTACCTATAACTGAAAACATAATAAAGTTTTAGTATACAATGATACAATCAACCAACTACTATTTATTTCCATCAACAGGGGCATTAATTTAACTCGGACACTATAACCATTATATTAATACTTCATACTTTGGCATTAGTTTCTTGTTCATTCCCACTAATTCTTAACAGGGACTCTTAAAAACCTTAACAAATGAGGGCATGGAGAGGGAACTGGAGAGGCAGGAAAAGTATATATTTCTTCTATCTTTTCATTCCACCTTTTGTGGAGGGGCTAACCAGCCTCAGCTCAGCCAAGGCTAAAGAGGAGAAAACCGCACAGGTCCCAGACAAGCCATGAACAGGACGTGACCAGAATCATGAGGGCAGTCTTCTAAATCCGAGGCCTTCCACGCCCATTTGCGACTGCTGCCACAACTAACCACGTCACCCCACCGGAGGAGGACACAGGGCCCCTCTCCTTAGCAGCGACTCGAGCGCTTGCTCAAGTGCGACAGCAAACGGTGCTCAGCGAGCCGGGTGCTTCCACCGCCCACGACGGCCCAGGTCAGGAGCGCTGAAGGAAACTTACTGATTTCAGGAGCGCGGTAAAATCTACTGACAAGGTAAGGCGTTATGTCATTATCCGCAACATGTGAGGCTGACCCAAAGTCGCAGAGCTTTAATATAGTTTTTGATTCATTAACCTGCAAAACATTTTATCGGGGAAGTTTGACTCAGGCCAGGAATAATTAAGACATAATCATAAAAATAATTGGCTTTGAGAAGTTATTTCCAATACTGAGAACAAAGTCACTCATTTAAAAATTCCTTTCCTAATTATTTTATAATTCAATTTCCTAATTATGAATAATTAAGAGCTATAGTATTCTAATTAGTGAAAGAACTTTCTTCAACGAGGAAATAAGGGATAATACCAAGTGAATTTAATTTTAACCAATGCTACTTAGAAAAGGTTGGAGTAGTGAGAGAAAGCACTGAAGCCAAGTAAAACCCCCTAGAAAACCTGGACACAGTCACGTTATTACTTAAAGGAACATGAAGACGGTCATTGAAAAGAGATTGGACTTAACTTTCGTTTGCCAGAAAATTATGATGGCAATGAAAGCAGAAGGATTCAGATTAAATGTGGACAAAAACAGAATAGAAACATTCTTCATCTGAAGCTGTTAGACCATCCCAAATTTAGCACTCAAGTCTTAAAAAAAATTAAATCTCTTAAGTATAAAGAAAGTATTAGTCAAGAAAATGTTAAATACACTTGGCAAGACTGATAAACATGAACACTCCATTAGTCATCGGTTTCTCTTCCCTTTGCAAATACTTCCAGATACACAGTAACAGTGACAGCTGCTGAGAAAGGCTGGAGGCGCTCCCATGCCTACTGCCATCCCGAGTCAGAAGCATGTTCGGGGTTAACAAGTGGAGATAAGTCACATTCCAGAGTCCCTTTCCCCCTTCAAAAGACACACACACAAATTCAGAGTTGGGACTTTAACTTGGCCTCTTGTTCCCACCCCACAGAAACCCAACACTTTAAATAAACAGCCCCGGGCCATCCCCGGGCTATCGTAGAGCCTGATCAATGGTGGACTGGCCCACTACAGGTGACGTCCACAGAACTAAGAGAGCAATAGAAATGGTCAACCACCAGGCTTCACCTGGGGAAATCGGGAAAAGAGATCTTCAAATGGAAAGTGCTTCAACGTTCTTAAACATAAACTGCATTCAGCTACTTAAGGATGAAGTTTCAACAATCACTGACAAAAACCCCGGGGCCACTTTCAGAGGAAGTTCAGGTGGACGGAGGGCCTTCTCCAGCAGCTGGGGACCCACACCCGGGCACCCCTCATCCACTGGCCCTCAGGGAGCCTATCGCACTACTCTGTCAGACCGACAGTTGAAATCCTGGGCTAAAAGCTTGGGGTTTTCATTAACAAGCAGCTCCATGTGGTCTCTGATATTTATTTTCTCCTTCTTAGGAAGAATGCCAAACTGTCTGAAATCCACGTGAAAACCTATAGTAGTTAAGCACTAACTTAAAGATAAATGAAGTTTTAAAGACAAGCGGTTGAGACAATGGCAAATGTCTTATTATTTAACCTCCAAGTGGTTAGAGATGTTCACTGTGTGATTACTTTCGACTGGCACGTAGTTAATGCATTCTTTGATATGGATGGTGTATTTTGTAATTCAAAAAAAGAGAAGAAAATTGGGGTAAAAGTCAATAATGAAGTTAAGTTGATTAGGCAAGACTACAACTCATAGTGTACCTACCATTTTACTGAGAATACTCATCGCTTCAAACCCCAAGTTACCTTAGAGATGCAATACCTTATATACTCAGACCAAACATAACAAAATGGAACACATCAATAACGTGGCAGTCTGGAAGGAAATAGTCTAAGACATTTAAATAGAAAAACGGAAATCTGAACTAAGCGCTAAGTTACTGATAAGGAGTTTGAAGCACACTTTAAAGGGATCTTTCGTTAAACATGTGGAATGTGCTATGGGCAGATAAGCTGCAATCACCCAAACGAGAACATGCCCTGACTCCTGACAGCATGGCCAGGGCGGAGGAAGGGCTGGGGAGGGAAGGGGTGTGTGTGCACCAAGCACCCCACTGGGAGGAGGCTTCAGAACCACACACCGGGAAGCCTGACCTCCACACCAGAAGCCACGCGATGGGAGAGGCACGCCTTCCACACAAGGTCCAACCACAGCTGGGCTTTCCCGGGCGTGGCCCCCGAAGCCACAGCTGTCGCAGAGTGAAGAACAAAGGACAAGGACTATTCCCGGGCGCCCTAAACTCAACTCCACGCATCCACTTCAGAGAGGGCGACTCCCTTAAACGTCCCTCGCTCCATCAAACGAAACAACAAAGGCAGGCCTTGCTTTGGCGAGCACGCCTTACTACAGCAGGGCCGGCCCGCAGCATGGCTGCTCCGACGCCAGAGGACGCCCACAGGGCTGCATCAGAGAGCCCTCAGGACCGGGGGACTCAAGACCCACTGACCAACCGGAGAAGTCTGGGCCAGCAGCCTACTTCCTCTCACTTCATTATTTCACTGTAACACTTCATGGCCCAAGTCATTTGTGATGGGTAATTAACACACAGAATGACTCTTGGAAGATGTAATTTCTAGGACACAGTGGTAATTATGTTACAGAAGGAGCTGCACGGACGAACAAGGCCGTCTGATCGCTTGACTTACCAAGATATTGTCTGGCTTGATATCTGCATGGAGGATATTGCATCTTTTAAGGAGTTTCAGAGCCAAGAACAACTGCTGACTATAGGATCGGACAGCCTTAATATGAAGGCCAACATCCTTACCGTATTTTTTTAACACCTCTCGTAAATTCATACTTTTAGGAAAGAAAAAAAAAATCAGAGGTTATAATGAAAAATGGAAATTTAAAAAAGCAAAAACATTTTCAAGCATAAAGTAAAATCAATTCAGAATATGAAATACAATCAAAACACTGTTCAAGAATCCCCCCGTCCCCCGCCCAGATGTTTGACAAATCATTCCACACTGAAATGAGAGCGTATGAACCGTGTGCACACAACACAGCTTCCAAAACGAAGAGAAAGGAAGACACACAGGGCTGAAATTTCCACTGACCCTGAACGGGCAGTGACACGAGCACAAGGACTCGAAGGCTGAAATCACAGTCCTGCTCCATGACTCCCGTTCCTGTTCACTCTGGCTTAGTCTTTCCTTGAAGTATTTACCTTTCAGGGAACTCTCTGCTGAGCTAAAGGCCACACAAGGTGAGCCTGTGACACAGTACACAGCCAACTACTGTTCACACATTAACAACTGTCAAGATGCTAACTTTTCACCACAGGTAAAAGACAAACGCCAGAGCCAACTGGAAGAAACATCCAACACCCAAAAGACTGGTCACAGGATTTGTCTGAACTGCAGCCGGCGAGAGGAGGAGGCCACGCCTCAGGGCCGTGCCCAGGTCCAGGCGGCGTACCTCAGAGGCTCAAACACCAGGCACAGATGCTGCTTGTGATAAAAGTGTCTGAAGAGCCGCAGACAGTGGAACTTGTCGTCAGGGTCGGCGTCATTCAGCTTTTTCAAGAATTCTAATTCTTTCAAGCCAGTTTTTTGCCTGAAATGAAAAAGAAAATTAGGTCAAAACTGGACACATCAAGAATTTAGGAAAACTAAATAATGTGTATTTATTTAGTGTATTAGTACTTTTTTTTTAAGTACTAATAAACAATCTATTGAGGAAGGAAAAGTCTCCACGTCCTTCACACAATACTTCCCACTTGGCCAAATACTGTTTTCATGGAGCTAATTTCCAAAATAATCAGCGAACAAAACAGAAACACCGAGCCACAAACCCACCGTGCTTGAAGGGAAATCAACCTGGCACATTCTATCTCAAGATGCCTTGATACAAATATCATCCGCTACAATTCTAGTTACAGTTTGACCATAGGCCATATTTTAAAGTTCCTGTCTGCAATACAGAAGTTGAGGACTTCCACTGAAATGACCTTCTAAGCCCAGGGCAGCCCAGGACTTCCGCATAAACCTAGACGCTTCTTCCCAGCGCCCCTAAACCAACGCTGAGCTCACTTTAACGCGGCTCGGTGTGTGGCGTGGGTTGTGTTAAAGCGGCATGGCAATGATCTCACTGCCCATAAAGAGAAAAGGCGACAGATGGAAGATACGAAGGATGCCTAGCCCCGAGTTTTCACCTTTTGCAGGCCATACAGTTCGTGACAAGGCAGCTAAGCAACACGACCCTTCGAATTTGCACCTGTGGTCTCGGGCTTATGACAGTCACAGCCAAGATCAGCCCTGAGACAAGGGCAGAGAGGAGCAGCCCAAGCGGACAGGAGTTCACACTGTAGGCACTGAAAAGAACTGAATACCATCAGTCGACAGTTCCAAGGTGTCACGTGTAACAACAAGTGACTATAAATTAAATACCCACACAGAGCTGCTCTGCCGTTTCTAACTCCCAACCTGTCCTACAGACGGCTGTCACTGTTTAAAAACACGCTTGCTCGTGAACGCCTGTGCCGAGCTGTCTCGTAGCGCCCTGAACTCACATGAGCTCGTTGTTTCTGATGATCTTCACGGCCACCTCCTGGTTGGCCCTCGCGTTATCCCGGGCTCGGACCACGTTACTGAACACACCTTGGCCCGTGTAGCCGTACACGTTGTAGCGCTTATCCAAGACTTCACCTATGTTCACACCTAAAAAGGTAAACTGAAACGTTAGAATTCTGACCATAATACATTAATGAACGAAAGTGTGACACACAACAGAAAATCAAAAGGCAGGAGACACAGCGTGTTGTTGGCCTGCCATATCTCCCCGGTGTGCTTGGCGTCCTGGACACCAGAGGCCCAAGGCCTCGCCTCCTCACTACGAGCCGGAAGCTGCAGGCCTCTGAGCCCTTCACAAGTCTCTGCTCCCCCGGCAAGTGCCGACGCCCCTGACCCCGAGGAGGCAGCGCCGTGGTCGCTGCAGTCCGGCGTGACTGGCACCCCCTCCCTGCGGAGGATTACCTGAGGCCTGACAGTAACGGAACAGACTTAAGGTGCATGTCAGGTCTCGCTGCCCTTCAGTCTGTGAGGCTTCTGGGCAGCCGCACAGGCAGACGCGGCTGTGAGCGGTGCTGCACTCTCAAGTGACGGCACTGGGGTGTGACCGCCAGAGCCCTCCCAAGCAGGGCGGCATCGAGTCACACAATGTTACAAAGTGTTACGATCAACTCTGACATGAGGAAGGGCTGTGAACTTACGGTAATAGCCTTCTGCGTCAGTCCAGTTATCCCTGAGGTTGGGATTCTCTTTGAAATCTTTTCCGATGCCAGCAGCTCGCAGACGCGCACTCTGAAATTAAGGGAGTAACATGGCTATTTACCCCCAATTTAGGGAGACATTTAAAGCACTTCCTTTAAACTTTGACAAGAAGATTTTATGCAAAGTTAAATAAACTCTTATTATGACTCACATAAATGCAACACAACAGAAACATGATTCCAAAGTCTCTTGTATCACAGTAATGCTCGGGAAAAACTACCATTATCTTCACATTTCTTCTACTGCCCTATTCATGTAGCCCTGTGTCTCTTCCCTTCTCCACATGGAATGTCACCGGCTGCATTAGAAGAGTACCTGGTGCTCCTGAAGACATTTCCTTACGCATCGCTCCCCAGGACCCGGAAAACCCTTCACACCCAAGCAAGTGAAGGGCGCCAATGCTTCAGCTGCCTCGGAATCACTTCCTCCTCTCCTAACTGATCTCCCGTGTGCGAGGCCTACACTGTAGACGCAACTTGTTACCGAAGCCGGTCACTGGTGTCTGCAGGGACCTGGACACTACTTACTGCTCACCCCAGTCCATTTGTAAACTCCCTGTTGTATGTTCTCTGTTTGTATGTGTGTGTCCCCACTTCCCTTCAAACCCTCCATATTTCTCATGTCTCCTAAATTTATGATGGAAATGGTCTGCTACTTTTGAGACCATTTCTCAAGGGAAAAAACTGATAATGTTTAAAAGAAAAAATTTCTTAACCCAGTCCTTATAACATTCCCAGTTCTTCTATGAATTCCATTAAGCTCCAAATCCTAAGTTTCCAATCACCCACAACACAGAAGCCCAGAGTGGATTCTAGGCCTGAAAATTACACATGTCACCTGGTTCCCTTCACCACCACACACAGATGTCTGTAAGTCGAAGAAAAGAGCTGTTTAAAAAGAAAATAACTACACATTTAAGTCATTTTGTATTTAACTTTCATGAAGCCCTGTGATTCCTTTTTTCTCACTCAGTTCAGTTCAGTGGCTCAGTCGTGTCTGACTTCTTGCGACCCCATGAACCACAGCATGCCAGGCCTTCCTGTCCATCACCAACTCCCGGAGTCCACCCAAACCCATGTCCATAGAGTCCGTGAAGCCATCCAACCATCTCATCCTGTCATCCCCTTCTTCTCCTGCCCCCAATCTTTCCCAGCTAGGTACGTACATACCACCAAAACACATATTTGCTATATGTACTTATTTTAACAATTATGTTTTTATGACTAAAAATACTCACATCAAAATAGGCAGCAAACATATCATCAGATTCTGTAAACATATCAGGTGCCAAGAGCTTCTTCTGAGATGAACCTGAATGGAAATTAGCATTAGTATTTGGAAAATGGAGAGATACAAACTGAAACGCAAATAATAAATCAATGGAAAAATCACTAACAGCAATTCAAACTTTTCCCTCTTTTGTGTCAGTTTTTCTTTAATACCCAACTTAATATCACTTTATAACCCAAGATATACAAAGCTATCCACTTTTTACTGAGAATGCATTTCAGAAAGGTGAAAAACCTAATATCGATACTTTCACTAACACTGAACTAATATGCTAATAACTAAGCAACAACTGGGCTTGCCAGGTGGCTCAGTGGTTAAAGAAACCACCTGTCAATGCAGGAGACTGGAGTTTGATCTCTGGGTTTGGGAGATCCCCTGGAGGAGGAATGGACTACTTGCTCCAATATTCTTGCCTGGAGAATCCCATGGACAGAGGAGTGTGGTGGGCTATAGCCCATGGGGTTGCACAGAGTTGGACATGGCTGAGCACACACAAGTAACAATTATATACTACAAAGAAAGCTCCTCTTTAAATCGCCAATTCATACCTCAAAAGGTTAAACCCCATATCCAGATTTTGATTCAAACCAACTATAGACATGAGATATTTAAAAATCATCAATTTTACCAAGTGTAAGTAATGTTTTTTTTGAAGCCTTATCTAACAGACATACAAACTAGACTTTTCCCAGGTGAAATTAATCATGGCTTGGATTTCCTTTCAAATGCTCTAGCGCAGAACCAAAGGTACTGAACATGTATGGAGGACAGAGCGTGGGCTCCGGTCACGGTCACGAGGACACTCACCGGGGCACTCTGAACACTGCACTCCCGTCCCCTTCCCTTGCCCCCGCCCCAAACAACCTCTCGTTTGGGGGAAGTGACAGAGCTAACAACTCGGAGGAGAAAAGCATAGTTGAAACAGAAATCTAAGTCACTCACCGTTATTCTGTTCAACGGTCATCAGATTATGCTTGGCTTTGACCGAGGCCTCAAAGGTGTCCACGTTCTCTCGCTCGTACTCCTTGACGTCGGCGGCCACGCGCTCCAGGATATCGTCAGGAGAAGGGGAGCGGGTGCGGGTGCTGCTCTGGGGGCTGCTGGGCTCGGAGGGCACCGACATGTTGCTGTCGTCAGCAAGGTACTTGTATTTCTGTAGTCACAACACAGAGCGTTACAGTCACCGATCTGGGGGAGCTGCACTGAAAACTTAAGTGTCAAATAATGCTAAAAAAAAAAATTAAAGGTATTGATGCCTCAACTGAATTAGATCCACAATCCCTTATATGTAATTCCAAACCCACAAAACTGTGGAAGGTCTTCTATGTTTGGTGCACATTCATTCAGTGGTAGAATCTGGCCTGAAGACGTGACTCTGAACGTCCCCAGTGTGAACACAAGGTGTCTCACAGCAAAACGCTCCCAGCGTCTGACAATGGGGTGCTGTGCTCGCCCCTGCTCAGGGGCTAAGTAAGATGCATGTATGCACCACATTACCTTTCTAAAATTCATATATTTCTCAGTTCTGAAGCACATCTGGCCCAAAAGGTTGGAGATAAGGGATTGTGGACCTGGGTAAGAACAGAAAAAGATTCAACCAAGTCTTCAGGGGTATCCAGTAACTGTTCAGTACCACTTTCTGCAGTGCCCCAGGGAGGGAAGTCGCCTCTGGAATTCCAGTTACGCCCCAAGTACGCTGGTAATTCCAGTTCTGCCCTTTGCTCTGAGATGCTATGGTTGCTCAAAGTTCACACAAGCTGCTACTTGTGTGAAGCTGCTACAATCCTATCCTTTTCTTCTTTGCTGTCCTCCTTACAGCACCCCAGCATCTTTCGTGCCTTCCAGAATTATTCTCTCAACTCCACCCTCACCTCCCATCACACGATGGTGAGAGAAGGCACTTTAGAGGATGGCCGTGCTCACAGGGCCCCGTGGCCAGGCCTCCTCTCGCGACGGCCAAGGAGAGCTGGCCGCCTTCTGCGCAGCTCATCATCCAAGGCCTACGTGACACCCTTTCCCGCCTGACTCCTGCATCACTCAGCTTTCAAGGAGTCTTAACTTTACTGAGACGTTTCATTTAAACATGCACATCTGTATCAGAAAATTTACCATTTTTACTAGGCATTAAAGAAAAATCTTTCTCAAAAAAAAAAAAATAAAAATCTTTCTCGTGTGTAACAGGCTATTATACAATGTTTATGCTAAAGGAAATTCTTCCAAGTTATACTCATTTATGAGGGCTCTCCCGTTTATCGACATTAAAAAAAAAGCAAGCACACTCCAAAGTTTGTCTTTCAAAAGAGCTTTATGCAGGAATCCTATGTATATAAAAAGGTAACTATTTCAATTTTATTAAGAAACTCTCTTTTTCTCATGACCTATTCAAATGCTCTAACACTTAACTGTTACAGTAAGAATCCTTAATCCTGTTAAAGTAGTGGTTACTTAAGGGCTGTCAATCAAAACGTCACTAAAATCAGTACCTGAACGATGGCCTGTCTTTGTATTCTTCTCTGCTCTATCAAGGCTTCTTCATCTTCCTCCTCAACATCGAAGTCTTCAAGACTTAGAAAAAGTTACATCCATGCATGTTAATTCCAAACATCCTTAGAGAGTCCAAAACCATAACTTGCAAACATTTAAAAAGATAAAAGCTGGAAAATGTAGGTCATCAGTGCGTTTGCACAGAAACCTTAAGCTACCTCACTCTATCCTTGCTTTTAAACTAGCCTGGTTTGGAGCCCCGGCAAGTAAATTTAACCTTCCATGTCTCCTTTTTCTCCTCACCCGCTTCACTGCACAAAGACTGGAAACAAAGGAAAGATCCTCAAGCTTAAAAGTCATCACCAGCTGTGATCAAAACTACAGACGGAAATTAAAGACTTCCAAGTCACTCCGTGTTTGTCTAATTTGCAGAAAGGAAGTTACAGGCCAGCTCCATTCTTACTTGTCATCAGATGACGATTCCTGCTCGACCTTCATTCCTTCAGAAAGACTGCCTTTAAATTTGTCTTCCTTGACTTTGCTTCTGCTCCTACGTCTGCGCCCACCCCGTGATCGAGACCGCCTTCTCAGGCGTGATCTGCTCCTCCGACCTCTGTCCCTATTGGAGGAGAACAGAGAGATATCATACATATAAAAGGTCACTTATAGTTAGTGTACTGGGGTATGGGTATTACAGGAACTCTGTACTTTTCTAAAGCTCAATTTTGTTATAAATCCAAAACTGTTCTAAAAATAAAGTCTTTAACGGGCCAGCGGAAATGTTTTAATGAACACTGATTTAAGTTTAAAGCAAAACTCAAAAATCTGTGTGTGTGAAACATCACATGCTGGCAACAGAAAAACAACATGGCATCACAGCTACAATTCTTCAGAGAAAACTGGTTGTTAAGAAAGCCTACCCACTGAGCTTCAAAAGCTTCAGTCTGATGGATCAAAGGGGAGTCTTTACCTTCTCCGAGGAGACCTGCTTCTTCTTCTGGGAGACCGGCTCCGTCTGAGGGGGGAACGAGACCTCCTCCTAACAGGAGATCTACTGGCTCGTCTTCGAGCTGGAGACCACCTACTGATCGGGCTGGCATCCTTGGACCTTTCCCGCCTACTGAGGATGTCCTCTCGAGGTCGTGTTCTTAAGGGGACCAGATACAGGTTCAGAGAAGAATAAATCAAGTCAGAATAAGCGAATTTCACCTACATATAAAGAAGACTTTAACCTAAAGATTGCAAACACAGAATAATATGTTTTGTAACAAAAACTCAGATGACGACAATAACATTTTGGTGTTGTGGTCGACACACAACAGAAGGTCTGTTTCCTCTGGTCTTGCAATTTGAAGAATCACTGAAGATTATTTATATTGTTATTTATTTATCCTGCTTATCTTATTCTCATTTCAGATAAAACTTGCCCAAATAAGGAATAATATTCCATTTTCTTGATTTGAGGACTGTTTTCTAATTGTTGACAATTTTTTGCAATTAAGAGCTTTATTTTTAATGTATCAATTGAGAATAAAATCCCTTTACAATCAACATTAACCTTGGAAGAGAGGAACTACCGGTAAGAGTTCAGAGAAAATGCCAGTCCACCAAGTCACGGAAGTAAATACTTGTATAACTAATCTGGAAGGAAATATGGCCGTGTCTTTCTGAAATGTAAATATACATAATCTCAGACTGTGTAATTCCACTTCTATGAAACTACCCTAAAAGAAGCTTTACACAAACTCAATGGATATCTCTGCACACAACTGTGAAAAACTGGAACCAACCTCAATTTTCATCAGTCTCAACAAGGGAATAGTTAAATACATTATGATATATCCACAATGTGAAGTACCATGTTGCTATTATGTAACAAACAATCCTTATATACTGCCACACAGTGTTTGATGAGAAAAGAAAACCACACTAACATGAATGGTATGAATCCTATTTCTAAAGTGTCATGTGCATGGAGAAGGGGCTGAAGAGAGACTGCTGACTTAGGAGCGGTGGCAGAGGAGGGACAGAAAGAGCGAGTTTACAGGCTTCCTGCAGGATTTACCCGGCTCTTTAATTGGCGTGCATCTCTTCTGTAAACTAACACTGGAAACCTGTTCCAAATCCCAACTCTAGTCCCTTAATGAACTGATGAGAATTTCCTCTTCAAACTGAAAGAACAGGACCCCTAAGAAGAGATATGAAGGTAGTAACACTGTCTCCATGCAGAGCTACAGGCAGGGGACCATTCCATCACTCAGAAGTGAAGAATCAACAGTAGCTCTTATGAGAATTGCCTTCTTGAAGCTTCTCAAAACACAGGATAATTTAAACTTCAACATCAATTCATATTTATAACCGTACACAGTAGATGGCTACGGATTCATGAACTTATGAGACAGGAATTGGTGGATCAAATGTATTATGTAAATATGAATTATTTTTATTATGACTGATAAAAAAATCATTTTAAGAGTGCCTATGTTTTTCAACAGTTGAGACTACAGGTATATGAGTTAATAACAAAAAAATTTCCCATTTTCAATTGTATTTTGGGGACCAAAAAAACCAACTGTAGTTCCACCTATATTGTTAGGATTCAAAATCACACCAATTCAAAAGAATAGACAGGTCACAATCCTTAAACTGACACCTCCATTTTTAAAAATTCCAGCCCACACTATTCAAAGAACAATCCCTGCTCTAGAAACACCTTTCCCATAAAATGTGTAGACTCAGACTTATCAAACAAATTACTTGGACTTTAAGGTGTGATTCTGCACATTAGATACTAAATTAAGAACTCAGAAAAAAAAAGTAAGTTAAACATTTAAAAACCACCTACAGTCAAGATGCTGACAGAAGCAAACATTAACACAGTTAGCAGACAGGACAGGATTATATCAAACACTATAAAACTCTTTGTCACCTCCGTTTTTATTGTCCACAAGTTTTAGCTTCTCCACTGAAATGTGCTGCAATGGTAGGAACCACTACGGCTCTGAAATCAAGTTACCTTGGAGAAGAGAGGCGTCTCCTTTCAGGCTCCCTGCGTTTTCTTTCCAAGGACCGGCTCTTGGCTCTCCTGCCAGGAGACAGGGTTCGAGAAGGTGACTTGCTCTGTTTAGACCTCCTGTCATTCAAGAGTGGGGATCGACTTCTTCTTGACTTATCACGCTGTTTTGGAGACAAACTTCTTCTTTTGGGACTGCGACCAGGTCTTCTACTGGGTGACCTGTTTTCTTTCCCAGAGGAAGCATCTTTAGAGGGAGACTTGACTGGCTTCTTCTCTTTATCGGCTTCAGACCGTTTTGATTTTCTCTCTTTGGACCGTGACCTTCTGTCTTTGGATTTACCTCTCAAGTCGATTGGGGATCTAGATTTCTTGCCTCGATCACGACTTCTACTTTCATTTATAACAGGGGATTTTTTCCTATCCTTTGACTTAGTTTTATCTTCGACTTTAACCTTGTCATCGACAGGAGATCTGGCCTTCCCAACTTTCTCTTGAGAGCGCCGTCTAAGGGTGGGCGACTTGGACTTTCTGGCTTCATCTTGAGACTTACTTCTTTTGGAGGGACTTTTTGATTTTTTCCTCTCCTTGGACTTGCTCCTCGTTGCCTTCTCTTTAACTATTTCAACACCTCCCTTATTTTTCTTTTTATCAGACCTATGTCTAGTCCGTTCTTTGGATCTGCTTTTACTTCGCTTTTTTGTACTATTTTTATTGTCCACAAGTTCAAGTTTCCCCTTCGTACTTGAAGATCTAGTACTAGACCTATTTCCATTTCTTGCCTTTTCATGGATCTCCCCCTCTTCTTCAGAGCCGGACTCATAACCTTGTAATATGAGCCCCATCCCAGACTGGACCTTCCCTTCCATTAACTCATTATCGAGTTCAGCTTTAATCAAGGCTCTCTGCTTCTCCAAGTCTTCCAGCAAAGCTAAATCATCAAGTTTAGTTCTTTTTGCTGGAGACAGACCTTCTTTGTCAGAAGCGTCAATGACCTCTTTCCTTTTGTGTTTTTTATGTTTATGCTTATGTTTATGCTTTTTATCCTTGTCTTCTTCTGAAGAATGTTTATGTTTCTTATGTTTACTTCTGTGTTTATGTTTCTTTTTCTTGTGACGACTGTGCTTATTTTGAGATTGGTCTTCTGATACTTCTCCATTTTCTTCATTAACACTCTTTTCAGAATTAGCATCTTCCATCCTATAAATGCATCAAACACATTTAAAAGACACATTACTTAGGGAGCATTCAGTCGTAACAAAATAGCAATGATAAATATACCTCAATGTGATATAATAAGCCAGCCACTGAAATATTTTATTTCAAAGGTATATGGCAAGAACTGAATTGAACAGTGATTTAACTTTGTTTCTCATGGCTGAACTCAAATACTGAAAGTATTAAAGGAAATACATAATGGGGAGGTTAACATAATTATACATAGTAGAAAAAGGAAATTCAAACCAGTAGTTTTGTGCAGTAAGTTAACACTGACTTTCTTAAACAGTCACTCAGTTTTTAAATCAGCCTTTCCCATACCACTCCACACTAAAGAAACCTGCCCATTCTTTCCCCATAAAATATTCATAATGACATACACTGGGACACTAATCTCTTTCCCCATTTGGAATTGAGAAAAACACACACACACATTTAAATCTCTGGAGCCAACACAGAGCTTTACCCAGAGTCACTCTGGGCCCGCAAGAGGCAAGTAGCCACCACGTGCCACAGCAGTACCCGCCTCTCTGGGCAGCGTGACGAGATCGCCGCGCCATCCTGCCCTGGGTCCCCCCACAGACGCTGTCTGCTCCTGACATCTGACCAGCCGCATCCTCAAGGCTGAGGCTCCAGGGTCACCGGAAGCAGTCGATCCTCCTTCTGATATCCGGTCAGAATGATATGGATTATTTTGTTCAAGTCCTCCAAATTCTCCTGTACTTCTAATAAGTTTAATATTTGTACCATATACTACAAAGAGCTCCTTGCAAGTTAAGAATTAATGAGTCTATTCAATCTCTTTTAACATTTAGAAGAAAATCACCTACACATAATGTAGGCATTAAATCAGGCAGCAGGAAAATAAGAATCTCTTGCTTCTCTTAAGGAAACTTCCAGTGGAAAAGAATCACATGCCACACTGGAGAACGGCAATGATAAGGCCCTGAGTAAGGGCATTATGGGAATGCCAACGGATCACTTTAAATCGTTTTGAAATGGTCAAGGAAAAGTATCTTGTGGATCATAGAAAAACCCAAGCGATTTGTTCGGCAGGGACTTTGGGGAAGAGAAGTTTATCAACAAGGTATTTATTTGGATTAAAAAATAGGCTGAGCAACACTGACCTGAAGAATGAGTATGAAATTAACCAGAGAGGTTAGAGGGTATTTTAGAAAAAGGAAAAAAGATCAGTGTTGCCAGGGTGTCAACCCTGGGGAAGAGACTGGTCTAATGGAAGCTAGGTTCTCAGGTGGACCGGTTCCAGGAGACGGACAGATACAGCACAGGACTCTGGGGCTCAGAGCTGAGACAGTGGAGAGGCCAAGGAACCACGGTCAGGCTGCCCGACAGATGGCCCCCAGTCTGGTCTCAGTCTTCAGGAAACCTGGCGGGGCCGGGGCACGACACAGTGGGGGATGCTTGGAAAGTTACTGGCTCACAGCAGTGGGGGGCCGTGGGGAACACGCACCCGCACGGGGCGAGAACTCAGAACCTGGGCTGTCAGGCCGGCAATATCCTCTTCTGGCGCCGTGGACGGCGGGGAAGGGGGAAGCACGAGGCAGCTGCAGCGGGAGCTGTGTCCTCAGCAGGCCTCAGCCTGGCCTGACTTCTCTCTAACGGAGTACACGAGGACACAGGATAAACAGTGTTCTGGGATCATGAAATTGTCTCAAAGACTTGGAAAAAGACAGTGTACCCAACAACATGGCTCTATCAGGAGCTGGGGGAACATCATAGATTTAAGGTGAAAATACAAAGGCATTTCAGCTCCATTCCTTGTTTAGGCTACAACCTCATACAGGTAACTGTCTCCCTTCCCTAGACTTTCCCATCCCATAATCCAGAAGGTGGGGTATCAGTCAATTTTTCTTAACCTTGACTTACAGCGGGAAAGTGTGAGATAAATAGAACCAGGCTAATTCAAGATATAGAGATAGGCAGGGAGGACCTTTATGAAGGTTGAGAATGATTTTCAGGTATATAAAAATCTAAGTGCCCCAAGTACAAAATTCCAGTCAGTAAGCTAGAACTCAATCTAAAGACCCTCTAGGAAAGCCCCAGAAAACGAACAGCTGGGTGGTGAAGTCTCCAGAGCCAGGCTACAGGGGCTTAAGTCCCGGTTCCACTGCTGACTAGCTGTGTGGCCTTAGTGAGTGTCAGCTTAATGGAGAAAGGAACAGCACCCACCTTCGAGCACATGGCGAGGACCGCACAGTTAACACGTCCAGCTCCTAAGGCCCAGCACAAACCTCGTGCCCAAAGTCAGGCATGTTTATTGTTCAGACACTGGGCAGACTGACTCCCTGTGGCACTGGGGAGCTTCCCACGGACACTCAGAACAACACTTTAAAGAGCAAGGGTCCTGATCAAACCACCTTGTTCCGATGCTGCCTGCAACAAGGATACCCCCAGTGTGCCCTCAGACAAGCTACTCCTGTGCCTCAGTTTCCTCCACTGTAAAAGCTGGGCAAATAACACTTCTGACAAACCACAGGTATGTCACTGCAATGAGTTCATACGTATAAAAGCAGTCGCACCAAGTGCTCAAGATGTGCTGTCTCTGCCCGTGTCCCCACGACAGATGTGACGTCACATTCAAGGAGGTGGACAGGACTCATCTGAGGGCATGCGCACATCCAGCTGCTGAGAAGGCTGGTGCTACAGTTGACGTCAGAGCTCTTGCTTCTGCTTGAAGATGCTTTTTAAAACATCAGGTCACCGTCACCCCTGAGAGAAAACTGATTACTGTTTCCTGCCTCATTCAGAGTAAAAACCTGAACCCTCCACAAGACCTGTAGCACCAGTCCAACCTCCCTTCAGCTGAGCCTGCCCCGCCCCCCTACAGCCCACAGCTCTCCCCCCCAAGGAAGGGGCTGGGCGCCCCCCCCCCCACCACGGAAGAGGCTGGGCGCCACCCCCCCCCCCCCCCCGCCCACGGAAGGGGCTGGGCACCCCCGGAAGTACACACTGCTGGTCCCTCACCGACCTCAGGTCCTGGCTCAAGCTCCACTTTCTCAGTCAAGTTCCCTGACCAGCTCACTTGAACTGCAACCCGCACCCTCTCACAAACACGCTCCCTCCCCCCTCACCCCCTCCACCCAGCACAACTCCTGTTTGTGCCCTCCCATTATAACAAAAGCCCTGTGGAGCAGCGTCTTAATCTGCTTAGCTCACTGCTCCATCCCTGAGGCCCAGAAGACAGTGTAACCCTGAGCGGGCACTCAGTAAGTACTTCTGTGTCAAGGGAATGATTCACAGAGTAACACAGTTGGCTCAGTGCTGAAGAATCACCTGCCAATGCAGGAGATGCAAGAAATGTGGGTTCGATCCCTGGGTTTGGAAGATCCCCTGGAGGAGGGTATGGCAACCTGCTCCAGTCTTCTTGCTTGGAGAATCCCACGGACAGAGGAGCCTGGCAGGCCATGGGGTCACAGAAGGGTTGGACACGACTGAGCAACTACACAACATATGAAATGGCATCACTGACCACAGCTGGTTCACGCTGTCTGTGTACACTCTCAGCTCTTGAAGGGGAACACTTTGTTTTTGGCTCACTAACGCCTCCAGCACATACGCCTATTTCTTGACCACAATGCCCTCAAATGATTTAAATTTAATCACCTCCCCACAGAAAAATCTGCTCTCTAACCCCCTTCCAAAGGTACTTATAATTTACAAGTTTTCCAATGCATTTCAAATCCAAACACTGAACAGTTTACCTTCAGAGGAAGTAATTTCCTTCACAGAAAACTCAGCATCTAAAGTTTCCGAGAATCAAGATCAAAGCGCCCGAAGTTACTACAGTCATTCCCAGGAGTAATCCCAGTTTTCACGGTAACTTAATGAATGTTAATTCAAGAAATAATGACCAGGTTACTAATAAAATGCCACCTAAGTGCCTTAGGGCCGGCAAGCTTAACCTTAACTCTAGAGTTCTCCCACATTGGGGTTAGGCAGAGAGCAGACCCCCAGCCTCTTCTGTTGATCTCTTAAAGCAAATTCCAAAGAAAATAACTGAAGTCTGACAGATACATCAGGAAAACTTGCACTCGATGCATCAGTGACACCCATAAACGTGCTCGTGCCAGGTCACTTAATTTAGGCTCATTAACAACAACTTTTCTTCTAAAGCTTTAGGAAAAGGTTTCTTGTAAAGAAACCTGGTTACCCTGTTGGACGATTTACATTTTGCAAACTAACACTACACATTTAGTAGGTATATTTCTATACCAAACTGGTCTACAACAGGTTTGTCATAAACCAGTACTTATTGAGAGCTGAGTAACATCCTTCAAATCTCATTTGGAAGGGAAGCTGCATTCGGAGTGCAGACAGCATGGTGGTGTCAAACAGTATTTACTCATATGTTAGGTTATTTCATCCTTCAAACAACCCAGAGTCTTGGGGCATCTGGCACAATAAAAATAGCCATGGAACAACTTTAAAATAAAGTGACCAATTACCAACCAGTAGTATTATTTTAACTTCCCTCTTCACATATTTTCTTTTCAAAGAGTATTCCTCATAACATCTTATATGAGAGGCATTCAATTCATGCTTTGGAGCTGGGGGCAATGGGGAGCAAAGTGAATGCCACCGCTTTCGACAAGGAACATAATGATAAGTGAGCCTGTTTCTCTAACGAGTGAGACTACTCTAATACAGAATTAATGTAGATGTAAAGATAAGGATGGATTCAAAAGACCAACTAGTCTCAAAAGGAACCATTCCACTCCCACTCCTTCCAAATGGGATATTAAATTCCAAAGTGTTGGAACTGTCATATCATAAAAATGGAACTTTCTGGGATACTGGAAATAAAAATTATTTCAAATGTTAAACGCTATTAATATTTTTAATAAAAGGAGCCACAACGTAGAGTGAGAGAACAGAAGCACGCTAGTTAGGAGCAGGGCCCCACAACAGGGCTGCCTGGATGTCCCCACACCTGTCACTTAGCATGGCCCTGGGCAAGCTAACTTAATTTCTCTGTGTTTTCAGCTTCTCAACTGTAAGATGTGGGGAGTGTCAGGACCAACTCCACAGGGTTGTCATAAAGACTGAATGAGGCAGTATTTGCTCAGCACCTGGTCTGGGTAAGTTCAGGTAAGTCAATGCATATAAAAATTTAAATGCTTAAAACTATGAAAAAAGACTGATTAAAGGCATCGACAAACTTAAAAGCCACGAAGAAGCATTCAGAGAGCTTTTTCAAAATATTCCACTTGGAGTAGACTCCACCTAACTGTGAACAACTCAGTCTGTCTTCAAAAAAAACCTACTCAGACACTACATTTCAGCTATCACTGTGGGCAGCCAACATGATACTTGCTTTCCTAGTAAACTGTCATTTTCTACATTAAAACGTTTCAAATAAGTGAAAGTGGAACACACATAGATGGAATAGTCTGTGCTACCAAGTGTGTGTGGGGGTGTGTGTGTGTGTGTGAGGGGGAGGTGCAATCAATCTCAGTGCCATTCATACTGTAGGAGCCTAAATAAATATTATTACTAAATCTCGTGTTATTTGAGTATCTAAATAACCATGGCTGCATCCCTCCTGAAAAGGAATTTAAACCGTCCCTGAATTCAAATTAATGGACATAATACTATAGAACTTTAAACAGATTACTAGAAAAATCAGCTGCATAGCCTAAGATTTTCATAAGATCTTCTCATGAAGCCCGGAACAAGGCCTCACTGTCAACTCTGTGAAAAACAAAAAGAGGCAAAGTCTACCTAAAACTTCAGAACCCACGTGCCCTCTTTTAAGTCAAACTGTGAAGATAATAGAGCAGCTTTCAGAGGCCCTAAATGAAAAACTTCTAGTAACTCTCTTTGCCTAGATGAGCAAAGCAAATCCTCGAGCAGTCCGGCACTGGACGCACAGTGGTGAAGCGATGGGCCGGCTGGGGAGGTGCAAAGATTTCTCCTCTTGTCAGTCCAAAGTTGCTGGGAGACTACCTCTACCTCTTTCTTAAGACTGCTGGAAACAAATCATATAATGAGGGTGCAAGCCGGAAAAAAAAAAAGGGCGTTACAAAAATATTGTCTTAAAATCCATTCTCTTAGGTTCCTGAGCTTTCCTAGAAAACACACGTTAAACAGAATACACTGCTCTCAGTTAAGGGAAGGGTTACCCTACTGATGCGGTCCACTCGGCCGCATCGATGCTTTACGTCAGCTTGATTACAGACACGAAGCGCTCGGGTTTGCAAGTAGCTGACCATTCCCACTCCTTATTTCACTGGGGCTCCCAGAGAAGCGCTGTAAACTCGGGCCAAAAACCCTAGGCCTCAGAACCGAGGACTTGGTCTTACTTTGCCTCGAGTTTGCGAACCGGGAGACCAGCTGCACTAGGCAGAGAAGGAGAAAACACCGAGGGGACGCTGGGGCCGAGCGCACCGGGCGGGAAGGAGGGAGCGCCCCGCCAGCCGCCAACCGAGGCTCTGAGATGAAGGAGGGCGCGCCCGGCGCCCCTCTGCTCCCGGCCGCGAAGACTGACACCGGCAGCGGCGCGGGAGCCGCCTGCGGAGAGGAGCGCTCGGGGCTCGCCGCCGCGCGGGCTTCTCCGGAAGACCCGCTCGTCGCCTCAGAGGCGGGCAGGCGCGCCCGCCCCGCGGCCTCAGGCTCGAGACCCGTAGAGGTCGCTCGCGCCCTCGCCTCCCCGGGCAACGCCGCTGCGGGCCCCGGCAGCCCTAGACCCAACAGCCGGGGCCTCCAGGCGGGCGGAGCGCCGAGGCCTCCCTCCCGCGCCCCTACGGCGCCGCGCTGGAGGCAAAGTTTGGCCGCGACCACTGGGCCGCGAACTTTCCCGCCCGCTCGCCCGCCCGGGCGGCGCTCCGCCCGTCCCCTCTCGGCCCGCCCCTGGCGCCGGCCCTCCGCGCCCCCGGACTACTTACTCTGGCTGTTCCCGCAGCGACGGCGCCTCCGCGGCGGCCATCTTGAACTTCCTGACTCCTCGGCGGCGGTGGCGGCGGCTCCGTGGACGGCGGAAGCCAGGGGAGGCGGAGGAAGAGGGAACGGGGCCGTCGCGCATGTGCCGACAGCGTCGGGACCCGTGGAGCTCGGCGTCGCTCGAAAAATCCGGATATACAAGCGCATCCGGGGAAGGAGCGCACTAGCGTCATGACGCACTTCCGGAAGGGGCGGGACCGCGGTCTCCCTGGTTGGGGCTTTAAAGGTGCGCGCTGATTGGGTAAAAACCGTCGTCAAGTTCTAGGAACCTGGAGAAAGGATGGAAGGTGGAGGGGTCCGCATCCTGAGCGCAGTTCCGAGAACTGGTCTTGTTGTGGGGCCCAGACTCGGGTAAAAATTTTCAAGCTGGGCAAGTAAGATGATTTTGCTTCTTAAATGCCTTCTTATCCCTTAGATAACTCAATGTAAAGCGGTATTAAGAGAAAGTTTGTAGACAAGCATTTTGAGAAGACTGCAAGCTAAAGGCTGTACCTAGAACATAGAGAACTACTAGTATTGGCACGTTCGTTGGAAACTTTTGGAACTTTGTTTCAGATTTTGCTGAGCCCACACGTCAGGAGTCCGTTACTCCTGTCCAGGTTCTCTGGACCTGTAAACTGAATTTTTAAGTCACATTTCTGGTCCAAATAACTTTGTAATTTTGTTTTTCTATAATAATGGAATCTACAGTAATGAGATGAAATGAAATACCGTATGTCAAAAGTTACTGCCTCTTGGTTAAAAGTTACTGTCTCTAGCTGACTCACTTGAGAAGACCCTGATGCTGGGAAAGATTGAAGGCGGGAGAAGAAGGGGACGACAGAGGATGAGATGGTTGGATGGCATCACCAACTCATGGACATGAGTTTGAGTAAACTCCAGTACTTGGTGATGGACAGGAAGGCCTGGTGTGCTGCAGTCCATGGGGTCGCAAAGAGTCGGACACGACTGAGCGACTGGACTGAACTGAACTGTCTGTTGGAGAGCTTTCAATAACATGTAGGTTTTTACATTCTCTTTCTTTCTCTGAAGAGTATCTTTCTTCATACTGGAGCCTAAAAGCAAGGTGGTGATCACTTTTATTCTTGTAATCAACTGAGTTTGGGTTTGATTTAGAAATCTGAGTTCAGAATAGCTGAGCTTATATGTCTCTTGATTGTCAGAGGGGAAGAGTTAAAATATTCTTTTAAAATAAGTCTAGTTGGCTGAATCCCAAATGTGTTAAAATGTTAACCATTTTCCCCTCATGGACTTTATTAATACGGAATACTAAATACTTGGATGTTTATTGACTTCTGTGGGTTCCCCTACTCTCACCCCACACCCATTGCTGCATTTCTTTGAATGGTTCTTAACTGTTTTCTTCATGAAGGGTTTCTTTCTTTCTCCTTAATTATCAAATTCAGGTATAATAACTTAGAAGGCTTCTTTCAAAGGAAATAGTTTTCAGAAATGTGTTAAGAATGGTTTATATTTTCACCGATATATTTATTGATGTACTGGTAGTGTGTAGGTTGGAATTTCAAAATTCTGCTAATTGTTCCCATCTTTAGATTCTCATCCAGGTATATCTTTTTTAAAGGTATTATGTATTCAGCAATACAGCAGTCTTGTATTTACTGTTTATTATATTCTCTGTCCTACAAAGGCAAGGCCATGTGTCACTGTGTTAAGAATAGCTCAGATACATTATTAAAATAACATTAATACATTATTTTTAAATATATACTTTTAAAGTGAAAATAAACATGGTGTATGTAGTACAAACCTATTACAGACCTCTTCTTGGAAGTGAGTACAAGCCTGTAAGAGATCTCATCTTGGATATATAGTAGAATAATACACTTTAAGGCAAAAGAAGCCTAATAAACTGGCACTCAGAGGTAAGGTGACTCGACTGTGATGACTCAGTTCCCAGGTGCCAAGCCATGGTTTAAACTGAAATTTCTCAAGTCTGCATTCTTCCTTCTTACTGTGCTGTTTTCCACAGAAAAGTCATTTGTTTAGCATCTCCCGATAGTGTACCCATCCACACAGTTCTTTGGTTTTCAAATGCTTTTTGAATATAAGTAATGGAAAGAGTGAGGAGGGCATGGCAACCCACTCTAGTATTCTTGCCTGGAGAATCCCTTAGAGAGCCTGACAGGCTTCAGTCCATAGGGTCAGAAAAGAGTTGGACATGGCTAAAACGACTTAGCATGCATGCAATGGAAAGAGTACTAGATTGGCACTAGAAATTCCTTATTTTCTCTAGGTCCAGAAACTGTAGTCTCTTTCTTGTTGATTAGTGGCGTGCTTATACATCAGTCTGTCTCCTCAGCCTTAATGTGGTCTCCCTGGCCCCCGCCCCACTCTCCATTTCTTTGCTGCATCTTTAACGTGGAGATTAAACGAAGCATCCTGAGTGTGGGGAAGGATGGGTGGGGAACAGAGGAACTAAGGGTCAGGTTTGAATCCTGATTATGGCTGGCTCAAGTTGAGACTTGGACAAATCATTCAAGTGTTTAGAGCAGAGTGAAAGTCAAGCTTCAGAAAATGATGCTGGCAAAAATCTTTAAAAATGCCTCACCAAATTCCCTCGCACGGTGCTACTTCTGGAGAGTGCACTAGGACAGGATTTGTCAAGGACTCACTCCAAACTGTTGGTAGTTTTTGAAGAAGCGGCGCTCTCTGAAGGCAGAGTTAAAGCAGACGTCCACTTATTACTTTAATCATTCAGCAGACGTTTCCAAAGCAACAGACTTAAGCCCGACTTTTCATTTTCAAACCCGAAGCCCATCGTTGCAACCGCGCTGCTTTTTCCTTCCTGTGTTCCGAGACCTTTGCACCGGAAAGCTGCCCGGGCAGAGCCGCTAGGAAGGGCTGGCCTTGCCCACTGGAAGCCCATGGAGACGGGCCTCGGTGGTGAGGCGATGGCTTGGTTGCTCCGAGGGGTGAGGGATCTTCCCCGACCAGTGATTGAACCCCAGGGTCCAGCATTGGCAGGCGGATTCCTGTCCACTGCGCCACCAGGGAGATCCCTAAAGTCTGTCTTTTAAAAAGCTCAGCTATCAGTTTTGTGAGGCACACCTCTATGTTGTGAGTATATGAGGGGAGTGTTTTTGTAAACTGGGTGGACTCACAGATAACTCTGTCATTTCAGCAACGTTTTTCCTCCACATTTATAATACATTGTTTGTAAAATTGTGTGCCCTGCAGTGAAGATTTAACACCCTATTGTATGTCAATCATCTCAGTAAAATTGGAAAAAAAATTTAACACCAGCTTTTAAAAGTGCCTGTTTATGCATTTCTTTTTTTTCTGTTTGTAGGTATGCATTGTTAAACTAATGAATTTGAATGTAAATTCCAGTGCATTTCCTGTGCTCCTGACATTTAGCACAGGAAAGCGTAACTTCAAATCCTTCTTTCCTCGGGGAAGACTGAACCTCAAATTGCTCGCTTGGGAGAATAATACTTCCTTAGAGATCAGTAGGCACAGTCTTCACCAAATCTCCAGCGGCACAAAGAGCCGCCTCGGGAACCACATTTTAATTTCCTGTTGAATGACAGGTGGTATTATGGTTTTGAACCAGAAATGAAAACCCACTCAGATGGAAACTTCCACGTTTTAGAATGTAGGTCAGTCAGAAAACGAAGGAAATATGGGAACAACGCAGCAGTGTACTGTGCGTCAGCTGTGTACTGGGTGCCGTCAGACCGCAGGCCTGTGTCAGATCCGAGCCCCGGGTCACAGCAGCGGGCCTCGCGGGCCCCAGAGGTGAGCACAGTAAAGAAGCGGGGCGGTTCCTGCGAACTGGCTGGCCTCTCCTGGGGCTCCTGTCCTCCGCGCTAAAAGCAGGCGGGAGAGACTGAAACCCAGCCAGAGTGCGCCCTAACTGTGGTTCTATGCTGAATTTCTCCTTCACAACCTCAGAACCGTGGGAGAATTCAGTCTCCAAAGTAGTTTCAAAATGAGAACTGATAAAAGAAAAGGAGGAAGAAATGACAGTCGAGTTCACCTCTTAAAATGTGATGAAGGAAGCCTTCTATGTAGGCTGTTTCTGTTTTTTGTTTTTTTTGTTTTAATTTATTTACTTGGCTGCATTGGGTCTGAGTTGGGGCAGGCTGGATCTTTCTTGCAGCTCACAGACTCTAGTTGTATCATGCAGGCTCAGTAGTTGCGGGTAGGGGACTTACCTGCCTCCCTTGCACGTGGGATCATTCCCCAACCAGGGATGGAACCAACGTCCCCGGCATAGCATGGTGGATTCTTAACCGCTGGACCACCAGGGAAGTCCTTGTGTAGCCTACTTTAGACCGAAGTTGTACTAAATTATGTTGTATATGTCAAAAGAGACCTTTTGGAATTACAAGTTTCTTTTTTTTTTTTTCATTTATTTTTATTAGTTGGAGGCTACTTACTTTACAATATTGTAGTGGGTTTTGTCATACATTGACATGAATCAGCCATGGATTTACATGTATTCCCCTATTGCTTGTAGACAAGTTTCTATTGTAATTGAGAGCTAAGTAGAATTTAACAAGAAGACACCATTTTTCACATGCTAGAAAAATTAACCGTCAGTGCTTGATAGAGAAAAAGTTTTCTTGACGCAAAATGGTTGGGGGAAACATGGAAATCAGTCATCTGGGAAAGAAGTCGATCATCATGGTGTTTTAAAAAATAGTCCAAAGTGGCTTTCCTTGATGCTGAGCACATAAGAAATCTCAAGGGAGTTCTCATATGACAGCTGACTTCTCATTATGATAACTGACAGTTTTACTGGGAGGTTTAGAGCATTTCTATTTTGTTGCCTCTGCTCTTACTCAGTCATTTTAAATGAGACTCGGCGAAGTGTACTCTGGATGCGGACAGTCACAGTCCCTGTGTTTCAGGGCGCAGCTGGTTTCTGTTAGCCTTTGTAACTTGCGTAATTTGGGGCAGTTTGATATAATGCAGTATACTCAAAGGGTGTGGGAATAGAAAATGATTTTCTTTTTTTTTTTAAATTTTTTCACTTATTTTATTAGTTGGAGGCTGATTACTTTACAATATTGTAGTGGTTTTTGCCATACATTGACATGAATCAGCTATGGATTT